CAGGAAGAGCATCGAGGCGGTATCCGATCCCGAGCTCGAGGAAGTTGACAAGTACTCGGTGAAGCATATCAACACCTTTCACGTCGCGCCACTTCTCCCTGTGGAAAACCGTTGTTCCCCCTCCCCTTCCTTTCCTGGTCCCAGTCGACGTTCACAAGCTCCGGAGCCAGCTACACCAACAAAACAAAAGCTCGAGTTCGTCTTCCCACCTCAAGGACGGCGCATCCAGGGGACTGCGGACGAGCGCGAGCCACTTCCCCACATGTGGCTTTACGAAATGCTCGGCGACCTGAAAAAGGGCAGACATAGCCTCCTCGACGTGCTGAAACGAGCCAAAGAAGAAGTGAACGAAGCCGCTGGAGAGCTTCTTCGCGTCCAAGCTTTGGTCAGCAAGGAGCACGCTCGCAGTTTGAAAGCCCAAAAAGAGCTAGAGCAAATCACCGGACCATTCAAAGCGTCACAGTTGAAAGGAAAGGTAGACAAAGCTATGGAAAAGATGGAGTGGCCCAGCGACGAAACTGATAGTTCCGATGACCCGGATATTGTGGCGAGGCGCGAACTGGATACTATCAAGAAGAAGAAAGAAGAGGCAAGGAAAAAGAAGAAAACTGACTCGAAGAGAAAGAGGGATCATAAGTGAGTTTTAGGTGTAAACTCGCGACCTTTGACCTAGTCGCTGACGCAGGTGATTAGGGATCGTTCACCGCCTCCCAATGGCAAGGGTCGAGAAGGCGACGACGAAGGTCGAAGGAATGACGATGATGGGGATTGCTCTGATCAAGAAAAAGATCAGAGGCCGAAGCCTTTAAAGCGGGCCCGTAGGAATGGCCAGGACCAGAACGGTACTTCTGCACATCCTGTGGCATCGACCGCGAAACTTTTGGAGGCTAGGGATTCATCTATCCCGTTCATCGGCTCCTCGCAAAAACGTTCTCGCGAGGACGATGAGGATTCTGCCACCAGCGAAGGCGAGGTGGAGAGGTCCGTTCGCCTTGACAGTGAGGGTAGTGAAAGAAAAAGAGCCAGACTTGACGAGGGTGGCGGTAACAAAGGGAGGTCTGGGGGATCCAAATACACGTTCGGAAGACCACGTCTTTTATAGTGGGAACGACGACTAGGGCCATGACGATTTCCTTCACCCGAATTTTGCTTTCGATGGCAAGTCAGCCCTTTTTATCGACTGGACAACCACATCGAATTCCGGCTACGCGGAGTACATGCTGAGCGAAAGTGGGTTGACTTTAGGTCTCGGATGAAGACACTGTACTTGTAATAGAACCTGTAGCAACAAAGGAATTTCAAAGATTGTATGGGCGAGTTACCTCTTGCAACCTTGGAAAAGCGGAATCAATGTGCATTGCAAACGACCAAGCTGGCATTGGTTGGAGCGGTCGTGAGTGACACTTAGGCTTGCCCACGACCGCTATACTACAGAGTGATGAGGTCGCACGTCAGTGGACAAGGGGGGAGAAGCATACCGGAGAGCTACATCCCCCTAAAGTCATGATGGAAGGCTGGACTGGCGACGAAAACTATATCAGCAGGGAAGTGACCCAATAACAATTGAGGGTGGTCTCATTTGATATGGTCTTACGGTATTCGTCGGCTGAGGGGGTGTGAGGGTTCTGAGAGGAAGGGAGGGGGATATACGTGTGATGAAGGGGTTAACAAGATGGAGGGCGCCCAATTGACCAACTCGGAGGAGGGAGGGAAGGCGACTAAGCGTCAGGGGAAACCGTTCGAATTAGCGCCTAACTCGGGGTAACATGCACATTTGCTATACATATACTGAACCTCAATGATACTATTTCATTCTTCTGTAACATGTTGTGCTCGAGATCTAAAGTGTCCTAATAAGCTGATCAAAGTGGACCAACAAAGTGCTACGGAAAAGGATTCCTAACTTTGAAAAGTTGTCGAGAACTTAAGCTTTCGAAGTGATTGCACCTTACTCTGCGAAGTTGGCAACTTTACAACTTTGCACCCAAAGTTCGTTTAGACGTTTTGCGTATGTGCTGCTGTGAGGGAGCTTGTTGTTGTTGCGCAACAGCTTGTTGTTGAGCGGCAGCGAGCAGTATCCTAGTCAACTCGGTGAGCAGAGCCTGGTAGTCCACGGGAGGTGCCTGAGGCCACCTTTGTAACCGCTGCTGCTGTAGCTTCAACGCATTTATGATGCCCTGGTAGTCTGCACCAGGCTGCCCTTGAAGCACAGCCAGCAGAGCAGACAGGTTGACCCCCGTGCTCGCACCGAGGAAGGCATTCACAACGAGCGCGCCTACGGCGTTGCTGTTTAGGATTGACGTCCCGACATCTACGGCCAGACCAGGCGGGATACCCACCGATAACAAGGCTGCGTTACCTGCGATTTGCAGTGCTGCTTTGCCTGCGGTCTTGCCGACCGATATGCCCATCTGCTTGAGGATTTTGGCTCTCTGCGAGGCTTGGGCTGCCAGCGCAGCAAATTGAGTGGCATCTGCGGGTGAGATTGGAGGGGAGGTTGTAGATCCTTCTCTTCCTTGGGACGGGGAACCCATCGATACGCCAAAACTCTCTTCTGGTGGTGAAACCGTGGTTTGGATATGTGACATTGACTCCCCCGAGGCATTGGCTGATTGTGAAGGAGGTTGAGCTGCTGTGCTTGAATGCGGGGTGGACGGAGAAGATGATGAATGCGCATAAATGTTGGCAGGATATGTAGCACTTCTGTGAGGGTGATGGATATCTGTCGGGAGAGGAGGTCCTTGATAAGATTGTGCTCTCTGGAGATGAGGGGGTTGGAATGCAGGCGCTTCAGAATCGACGTTCTTCGGGTGTGGGGTGGCAAACCCATTGTTCGTGGATCCGGGGTGACTATGTGTCAGGCAAGAAGCTGGCGAGGGGACTTGATAGGATTGCGCCTTGTGAAAATGAGGCGCTTGGAATGCGGGCGCTTCTGGAATGTCATTTGCTGTGGGGCACCCATTACCTGTAGATCCGTATTGTGACGACCCCGACTGCCCTGGGATCGGAGTGTGCACCGACCTTAAGTTCACGGAGCTATTGAGGCCAAGTTTATTCTTATATGAATCAGCGGCGTTCGGTGCAGGCATACTGGGGATCTGGCTTGGATCGCCTGGCAGAGGGATAGTCTGAGAAATTGGGGACGACATGAGGCCTGATGAAGGTGAAACGGAGGGCGAGGGGGTCGAGGGGGACGTTTGAATGGAAGGCGCAAGGGGGGTGGGTGTACTTCCAAAGTCTCTGGCAGTAGCCGAGATCATCGGTGGGGTTGTTTCTGTGCTGTTTGAGCTGGCAAGTGGAGGACTAGAATCTCCACTTCGCTGAGAGGTGTTAACCGATGGTGTTGGCATCCCCGAGAAACAGGGAGGAGTGGAAATCTACCCGGAGGGGTAGATAACACTGCTCACAAGACGAACCAACAGAAATAAACCACGTCTATGATTCTGGAGGTTCTAGAGGGAAAGTATGGGTACAGGAGAGTAAGATGCGTATGGGAAGATGGTGGTAAGAGTCCAAGCGCGGAAGCGCGCAGGAAGAAGTAGAAATACGAAAGAGAAGCAACAAGTCCAAACAATGGTAACAGGTCCAAATAAGAGTAATCCGGGACCAGGATTACACCCTCCCCTGCTTTAAAAAGAAAAAGAGAGGAAAAAAAGAAAAATGTTAGTAATAATATAAGTAAATCCAAGCACCGGGTGCATCAAAACCCAATGGGAAAAAGCTACCGGCTGGCAAGGTGGAAAGAAATCTACTTAAAAAATCAAGAAGATCCATTCCGCGAGGCCAGCCATATGTCGAGAGCTTCACAATCTTCTAGTTCAGAACCAGGTAGCCATTCATCATGTTCTTTACCGAAGCCGCGCCAGCGGACTAGGTATTGATAACCTCGTCCGCGACGGCGTGCATCCAATATTCTGTCGATATATTGTTCTTCATTCCCATCCTCAGTGATTATAGGAGCCGGTTCTTCAAAATGACGGGATGGGAATTGTTCTGTATCTGATTCGATGTACGGAATCACTTGTGATGTGTGGAATGTAGGGAAAATATTCGTCGAATTAGGAAGATCAAGGGTAACTGTTGAGTGTTCCTCGTCGACATCAGTGATTGTGTAAGGGCCATCGTAACGCGGCATGAATTTTGCTACGCGTTTTTCCCCTTTCACTTTATATTCCTTTCGTCTGTGTAACGTCGACAGACGTACACGCGACCCGACGGTAAAGGGGAAGGTCAATGTGCGATTTTTATTCGCCTGACGTGCTTGTGACAGTTTTGCCTTAAGCAAGTTGTCTTGAGCTTCCAGCACATCCGTTTCAAGTTTACGGATAACATGCCAAGCGTCTATGTCTGTTACAGTGGCAGAAGATTTTGCCGGAACGAGGGGTGGTATAACGCGAGGGCTTCGCCCCATGCGCAGTTGGAAAGGCGTAAAGCCTGTTGATTTATTTACAGTGTTCATCATGTCAAAACGAATTTTTGGTAGGGCACGAACCCAACCTATTTGGTTGTGCTCAACGTGATACCTCAGCGCTTGGTTTACAGTTTTGTTCGTGCGTTCACTGGCGCCGTCTGATTCCGGGTGATATGCAGTTGACAGTTTCAGTTTCACGCCCGTCAATTTGTGCAAGGCTTTCCAAAATCTCGAGACGAAGAGTTTGTCTCGGTCGGAAATGATTTCAGACGGCAAGCCATTTTCACAATACCAACGATCAAAAAATAGATACACCAGATCTTCAGCAGTAATATCGGTCTGAGACGGTACTAACTGTATATCACTGCCCAGACGATCAGTGAAGGTGATAATAGAGTTTTTCCCGTTGTCTTCTGGAAGCGGACCAATAAAGTCAATCGCTACAGAGTCACCCTGTCGATCAGGGATTGGTAATGGGTGAAGAGGGCCATAAGGTTTAATCGTCGATGATTTGTTGCGCTGGCAATCGGGACAAGAAGGCACATAGCCTTGCTCGAGATCACGACGCATGTTAGGCCAATAGTACGCATTCCTAAGAGAACCGTATGTTTTGTAAAATCCAAAATGGCCAATCACATCGTGTGCGAGCATGAACAGGGTTTCACGGAGGTTGTTTGACCTTGGTATGATCAATCTCTCTCCAACATACCATAAGCCATCACGGAACACCAACTCAGGCCAACTGACGGCAGCAGCAGGTAGTGTTTTACACCACGCGTCATCTGCATAACCCGATCTGACAGCATCTAAAAAGGATTTATCTGCGGTTATCTCCAAGGTGGCGCCGATTGCCGGAAGTATAGGTTCACGCGACGCCAAGCAAGTCGCGGATTCCCATGGACCACACAAGCGCGGGAAGGTTACACTTGCAATTGTTGCTTCGCCTTCATCATCGTCGCAGAAGTTGTAGGGATGCCGCGCAGTATTTTCAGAATCAGTCAGAGATTGTGGAGAAGGTAAGCGGGAAAGGGCATCTGCAACTGTATTGTCCTCTCCCTTGATGTAGATGACCTTAGCGTCGAACTGGGACATAAATTCCATCCAGCGCACTTGTCGTCGTGACAGGTCTTTTTGAACGTTAAAATTTTCCAATGTTTTATGATCTGTGTAGATGAAGAAAGGCGACCCTAACAAGTCAACGCGCCATTTTTTGAGTGCACGTATTATTGCAAGCAACTCCTTTTCGTGTACCGGATAATTCAGTTCAGCGTTTTTGAATGTCATTGAGTCAAATGCTACTGGCCGCGCATTTTCCCAAGACGGTCCGAAGGATAGCACTGCGCCGGAACATTTGTCACTTGCGTCTGTTGTTACAAATATTTTGTACTCTGGCATTTTGGAAAAGTCAATTGTTGTCAGACAATCCCGGCTCGTTACAATTTGCTTTATTGCGTTGAAAGCTTTTTGATGTCTAGGCGCCCAACATGGAAAGTTCCGTTTGGAATCTTTCGTCGTCAGTTCGGAGAGTACGCCAGTATGATCAGCAAGCGACGGCAAAAATGCAGCGATGTAACGGACAAGGCCCAGAAAACCTCTAACTTCTGTAGCTGATTTTGGTACAGGCCAGTTGAGGACCTTTTCAACTTTTTTGTTATCAGCTTCGATACCGCGTACGCTTATGTGGTGCCCCAGGAAATCAATCTCGGTGCAAAACAAATGTGTTTTATCAGGGTTTACATACAAGCGTGCTGCACGCAGTGCTTCCAGCACAGTCCGGACGTTACGTTCATGTTCTTCTAGAGAGTTTGACCATATTACGATGTCATCCAAATATATATGACAAATTTTCCCAATCAGCGTCCTCAGCGCCGCAGTCACTCGACGTTGGTGGATGGCAGGGGCATTTTTCAAACCCATTGGCATTACCAGCCATTCGTAGAGGCCCAAGGGAGTGTTTACCGCTGTTAAATGTACGTGATCCGGATGCATCCTTGTCTGGAAAAAACTGTTTGTCATATCAATTGTACCCCAGATCCGTCCTTTTGCACAATCATTTAGGATATCATCGATGCGGGGTAAGGGGTGACTATCTGTGACAGTGTTTTCATTAAGCTGCCAGTAATCATTTACCCAATGCGGCAATACGTTGGGGTTTGCCTTCGGCACAATAAATGCGGGCGAAGCACACGGAGAAGAAGAAGGCCTAATGCGGCCTGCGTCCAAATGTTGTTGAATTTAAATCTGCCAGGCTTGTTTGTATTTCCGCGGTGACGGATACGAGCGTGATTTAATAGTCTTTTCAGCATTCTTGATTTGAATTTCAGCGACAATATCTCGAGGTAATTCGTCGGCGTGAGGAATAGGTTCGAAAATCTCCTTGTATTCTGTTTTCAAAGCAGTTTCACGTGTTGCCAGTTGTTCCTGTGCAACAAGAACATCGATACGATCACGGACAGCACCGGCGACGTCAAAGTCTTTGACGTGTTCTGGTTGTAGTTTTTTATTCTTTAATCGATCATGGCATACTAACATCAGTTCTGCAAGTGCCAATTTCTTATCTGCTTTTGTTATCTTTATTTGCTCACGCAGACGAGGTTTGGGAGGCGGCGGCGGTACGATGTCAGGGGGGTTCAACAAGTCATATGAATTCCTTTTATCTATACATGTCCGTGCAGCGTGATCCGTAACAATAAAATTCCGTTCGAGCCAAGGGAGGCCCAGAATAATTGGCAAACAGAGTCCAGGTGTAACAAGAGCTTTTACGACATGAGAAGTCCATGCAGAGTCCAATGATGAGAGTGCGAGTTTAACATAAAAATACAGTTCGGTTTTCTTCTTCTTTCCATTGCTAAAGGCGACGTCGACTAATTCCGGTTTGTTCAATTTATACTGCTTCAGTCCCAGGCGTTCGACGAGTTCAGGGCGGATGAGCACTAGGTGTGCACCGTTGTCAATGAGAGCGCGCGTTTTCACTGGAAAGTCATTCGTCAGACTGTTGATTTGACAATTCCAGATTAAATGTTTGCTTCGGATAGACGTGTTACTCACATCACGGTGCGACACATCCCAGTCCTCATCAGAGTCCGACGCGTAATTGCCAGGCGAGTTTGGGAGAACTGCCACTGTGGCAGACAGGTCATCGTCAGAGTCGACCTCCTCGATCGAGGCGGCGGTGGCGGCAACGGGTTTGGCGGTATGCTTAGCTACCGCCTTAGCCTTCTTGGCAGCTAGCGCGAATGCGACGGTAAGTGTTTTGTAGTTCTTGCCAGAGGGGAAACCATCAGGGCATGATTGAGAATGATGATCACAGTAGAAACGACAACATTTGGTGCAGCCATCGTGTTCATTCAGGAGTGCTCGTTCATCGTCGGTGAGAGGGGGAAGCTTGACGAACGAAGAGCTGGAAGAGTTGGCAGACGTCGAGTTTGATTGGGACGTGTTTGCCCGACGGGACGAACCACGCAAGACATCAGTCTTCGTGTTCTGATGTTTCGCCTGGCGGTCGATAGTCTCTTCAATGAGTTCACGAGCTCTTTTGTTTTCGACTGCTCGAGCCTCGTCGATGATGCGGACAGAGTTGATCCACGGTTTGAGTGCCTTCTCCTTGCGCGCCTCACTGTTTTTGAGACGCGCACGTAGCTCGTCGTCTAGGTGGGCCTCAAGGTGATTACGGAGAGCGGTGTCGTCGAAGAATGAGGTGGTTCCCCGAAGGAGGCAGTTCAACTTGAGGAGCTGTTGGGACCAATTCCAGAAGGAAGTCTTTGACGACGTGAGAGTAGAGGTAAGGATCTTATTCCTGATCTGATCCTCCCAATCCTGATGCAAGTAGTTAGCCCGCATTTCAGACATGAAGGCAGGGAACTCGAGCGTGACAAGTCGCGTGCGTTCAGCGGCAATCCAATCCTGAATCCTGAGGTCTTTGATACCCGGGATTATCATTGTGACCTGTTTCTCAGCAGGAATGGACTTCGAGACGAAGAAGTCGAGCGCCGCATTTTCAAAATCCATCATCACAGCTGGGGAAACATCCCCTTCAGTCAAGACAGGTGCCTTGGCGCTGGTGGGCTCTACTGTTGCAAGTGTGGACATTGTGTGATGATGTTTTTTGTGGATATATGCGGGTTTTTTGTGGATATATGCGTCTTCTTCAGAGTCTGAAGAGTCGGATGAGAGTAGGAGCAGTGGAGATGGTGATGGGAGTGTTAAAGGTGAAGACGGTTCGTGAAGAGATAGAGGACGGTTATTTCTAGAACGCGTAGTGCTGGTCAAACCGTTAAGGAGAGGGAGTTGTTGAGCAAGTGCGGTGGTACGGGTGAAGCGAGGCAGTTCCAGCATTACGGTTGGCGTGAGCGCGTCCCAAAAGGGGTTCACGGATGACGGCGGTATACCGGTACAGGTGAGTAACCCTCCACTAATCAGACAGTTAAAAGCATGTCACAATGGACAAGCACGACAGTTTACGTACAGAGATGATGCGATAACGCGTCAAGCAAACGCCTAGTGGGAATTCCAAAAGGGCGTGCCTATATGCGCGAAATACATGTCAGAATCTAAAACGGTGGCGATATTTCAAAAAAAAGTGGAAATCTACCCGGAGGGGTAGATAACACTGCTCACAAGACGAACCAACAGAAATAAACCACGTCTATGATTCTGGAGGTTCTAGAGGGAAAGTATGGGTACAGGAGAGTAAGATGCGTATGGGAAGATGGTGGTAAGAGTCCAAGCGCGGAAGCGCGCAGGAAGAAGTAGAAATACGAAAGAGAAGCAACAAGTCCAAACAATGGTAACAGGTCCAAATAAGAGTAATCTGGGACCAGGATTACAAGGAGGAGGTGGTGGTGGAGCAACAAAATCTCCTGAAGGCCCTGCTTGCGATCTGTCCGGCTCCATATCTGCTGGATGCTGATAAGAAGGCCTTGGAGGCGTAGCGTTTATCTGGACATACTGTACTACAGTGCCTTGCATACAGTGCTTTGCATTGCCGTTTGCACACCGAAATCGCGAAAATTATGTTTGGTTTTGTATGTTCGTCACAGATTGTCACGCATCAGAACGAGATCTGAGCACTTTGGGAATTTTGTATTTCTCAAACCCAACTTTTGTTGCGCCTCAGGCATCGGATGAGATGCACGTGCGAATCATCGTTTGCCATGATGAGCAACATCTTTCACCGCAGGAGATTGCAGGCCTTATTGGATGTTGCGTCGGGTAAGCGGTCTCTTACTTCCCGTTTTGAAGGTCACGGTACAACATACACAAACAGGATTTCCAAAACTCGTTGTGCAAACGGCAGTGCAAAGCACTGTAATGCTTTGCAGCGTGAATTTTTTGAAATTGTATTTGGCTGTGTTTAAACTGGTCCTGAGTAGTGTTGCCGGAGCTTGGCTCGGCTTGGCTGAGCCACGCGAGCCAAGCCAAAAGTAGCCAAGCGGAGCTGTTCTCACTGCTTGGGCGTCCCCAGCGGCTGCACCCCGCTTATGAGCCAGCTCCTTGATGGGATAGCTGGCTCAGCCACGGCTTGTATCCTATTTTGGAAGTAACAATACAAACAAAACCATAGTTTTGACAGTACAAGCCTTCTTACTCTGAAAATTGATCTCAATATGGACACTGATGTAGCTAATTATTCTGCCAACTTTGAAGGCTGTCGAGCAAGAGCTCGCATGTACAGAGCTGATATGTTATATATGTGACTTTTTGGTTGTGACATGTGACAAACAAATGCTGTCACACATACAGGTAACCAGATCTCTCAAATTTTATGGCCAGAAAAAGTGACAAAGAGACATCAGGGTACTTGAGAGAGTGATGGTTATCCTTTGGATTACTTCCATTCATTTATTAAAGGTTTTTGACTGTAACTGCAACACTAAAGTAAAGGTTCCTTTTTTTGGTGATGAGCTGCTAGCTAGCCATGATTTGAGCCGCTGTGGCTGAACTGGAGCCATCATTTTGGCAGCTTAGCTCAGCTCCAAGCTCCCACACTGCCTGCTTTGGGCAAAGCTGAGCGGGAGCCGAGCTAAGCCGAGCTCTGGCAACACTAGTCTTGAGATGTCACATTCAGGCTTATTCCAGACAGGGATCATTTCGTTGGGCCTTAGTTGTGACATATCAGGTTCACTACAAATATAATCAAATACAATTTGAAAAAATTCGTGCTGCAAAGCATTATGCAAGACACTGTAATACGACCATGACTTCGCATCATGCATCACAGAGGTCATCGAAGGAAGTGAAGTGAGGGTGATGTCAGGACCCTGGTATATGCTGTAACATGTCCCATCCATATGCGGACGGAAATGGGTCCCAAAATCGGCTTATGTCCAATCCCTTTGCGGATGGAAAGCATGAAATTTGGCTGGAGGTCCGATCCCTTTTGGGTCCATAAATGGTCGTCGGTAGCGAGGTCCGATCCATGTGCGTACATTTTGTGGCTATTAACCAGAGCCTGCCGACCTCAGAAGCTTTCTCTCAAAAACCTTTACTAGCCATCACACCTATCCACCTGAACCAGACCTCCGAGCATGTGCAGGTGTAATCAGTATTGCGGACAGAGATGGGTTTAAAATGGTAGGTCCGATCCAGTGCGGACGGACATGCCGAAAAATCGTGCATACATAAGTGCCAAAATTTGGCAGTTTTGGATCGGACATTAGGGTCCTGTGATGTCACGCATCACCCCGGTTTTCGAAGTCATTTTTTTCCTAAGTATTCTAAAATGGCTGATTTTTCTAGTGCCTGTGGTGCCCATAGGCATGTAAACGACATGGTGTATATATTATCTACTTTCTAATGAAAGTTGTTCCACCATCTGAGGTTTTCTTGCATGTACAACCTGTTCTTGATTTTCTTACATTGGCCTTGGCCTTCCCGCTCCATGGCCATGGTGGGGTTGAGTACTTGGCCTTCAACCTCTTCAATAAGAGTCTCTTCTGCTTCAGTTGCCAGTATGACTCCATCTTGTCCCATCACGAAAGCCTGGTCTGGCTCATTGAAAAGTTGACATGAACATCATCCTCAACAACTTGCAGAAGCACTGAAGCCATCACACTCTTCGTCATGCATCACATCAGCTGTTGAAGCATGGTGAAAATAGGTCACACCCTATAGGGCCCGAGGACTTGGTTGTATTAGTACAGTAAGACATTCAGAAAGGCAGATGTGTCCTCTGCCAGGCCTTGTGCAAGTGGATGGTTTTGAGAGGCCAGTGAAGTCAGATCAGTGAAAAAATTAGCTAGTGTGTAGTTGCTGTGGTCAAAGGCCTTCAACATAACACCTCAACATTCAACATCATGCACTTTGTTGTTTGAGTGTCTATGGTATGGAGAACCTATCTAATTTTGATTTAATCGATGTGATCTCTGCACTATAGTTGGCCTCGAAAATATGATAGGGCAACTTAAAAAGGAATGCCTGAGAACTCTGTGCACAAATGCTGCAGCCGCTCTCTCGCTTCGCTCCTGACCTTTCTTTGTTTGTTTGGCATCATCTCAACATCATCTTCATCACAGCAACTTCCCACCCACCCCATAGTATGCAGGGAGTGAAGCCGAGAGCAATGCTTTTAGGAGCCTGTACATAAGGTAGGCTTGTGACCAACCAGTTCTTACTCACTGAACAAATTCGGACTCCAAAGGTTCTGTAGTTATGTGGTGACCCTACAGTGCTTTGCATTGCCGTTTGCACACTGAAATCATGAAAATTATGTTTGGTTTTGTATGTTCATCACAGATTGTCATGCATCAGGACGAGATCTGAGCACTTTGGGAATTTTATATTTCTCAAACTCAACTTTTGTTGTGCCTCAGGCATCAGATGAGATGCGCATGCGAATCATTGTTTGCCATGATGAGCAACATCTTTCACCACAGGAGATTGCAGGCCTTGTTGGATGTTGCGTCTGGTAAGCGGTCTTGTTGTGCAAACGGCAGTGCAAAGCACTGTAATTTTCCAAGTCTGATAGGTGGTGTTGTCCTTGTTGTGGTTTTGAAGTTACAGTTGTTTGGATGAAGTCACCGCATAACATACCAGTGGTAGCGAGTCTATACATAAGGAACCACCTGTGAACCCTGGTTGTTTGGTCCTGTTAATGTTCCTGTCTAGCTAGATACAAAACCACTTTTCCAGCACTCCGGGAAATAACTTTCATTGGATGACTTCCCATAAGTTTAGAAACCTAGATTAAATTCTAAATGTTTGATGAGCGGACTTTAAAAATATGTATAAGCCATGCAACACAGATCTACACATGTACAGTTAATATTTTTTTTGGTGACACACATCTCATCTTGGATCTCCTGACTCCATTGCACTGAGCATGGACATTTCAGATGACTTTGCCCTCCTCCAGCTTCAGTTGGCACAGAACACAATGCAATAGACTGATGAAGAATTCGAGGAACAGATCATTGCATACACCAGCCTGATCATATACGGTTTAGATGAGGCACGCTGCCTACACTCTGAAAGACAGTCTTTGCGAAGACTGTACTTGACATGTCCCAACCTCCTTCCAAACCCACATCGGAGTACACCATGGCAGGTCCTTTATGAGAGCCAGAATGATCGCACATTTATAACCACAATGGGATTCGACATCACGACCTTTCACAAGATTTTAGATCATGGGTTCAGAGACTTATGGAACACACTTGCTATCCCTCGCTGTGAAACCAACATTGATTCAAGGCCACGACTTGGCTGCCGATCTCTTGATGCTGAAGGTGCTCTTGGACTGATTCTCCATTGGCTCAGCTCAACTATGCTTGATGTTAGTCTAATGCAAATCTTCACTCTCATTCCTACCACAGTATCCTGATACATCGCCTAAACCTTCTTTTCACCCTTCGTCGAATCATGAATGCATGAGGCACACATGAATTTCAGGAGAATAACAGCCTCATCATGGGTCATCATCCACTTCTCAATGGTGCATTTAGTAGTATGGATGGCCTGAATCTAGCTGTACAAACCTTGCCAGACCAGGAGATTGAGAATGCGATGTTCAATGGTTGGCTTCATGACCATTTTGTAAGCAGCATGTTTGCTTTCAGCATGAAGGGTAGGTCTCTTTCTGTGTGTCACCATAGTTCAGGTTGAAATCACTTTTTCCAGGTGAGATCATCGCATGTAATCTCAATGCTCCAGGTAGTTGGCACAATTCATGTGTTGTTCGCTCCATTTATGAGAAGTTATGAGCACAGACACCTAGGGAATGTCACGGGCTACCCTGGGGTTTTCCAGAGTAACCCGCACCCGTCAAAACCCGTACCCGCATCCACAGGTGTGGGTTTTCGTGGGTACGGGTCAAGGGTTTACAAAAACCCAGGGGTTCCCAACCCATGTGCAGGTATCCCTCCAGAAATGACCAATGAACCTTGCAAAGGCAGTGCAAGTGTCAATCGATACTGCTGTGCAACCCTGCGAGGATCGGAAAGTCAGGAAATGGTAACTGGGGCACAGGGCATGCGCCAGTGTTTTGATGGCATTGTGTTGTGTGGTGGTGAGCAACTGCATGTGACTGTGTTGGTGTTGACCTGCGAGGTGGGGTCCATTGGCAGGTGTCGTCGTCGTTGTGCTCTTGTGATAGTCAGTAGACAAAAAGAAAAGAAAACTTCACAGGCGTACCTTGTAAGCCCACCCTCTGGTTGTGTCTATCCCCCCCATATTCCATCGTGTTTGACTCATCGTTGTTGGTAACTGGGGCACAGGGCATGCGCCAGTGTTTTGATGGTATCGTGTTGTGTGGTTGGTGGTGAGTAACTGCATGTGACCGCGTTGGCGTTGATCTGTAAGGTGGGGTCCATTGGCAGGTGCCGTCGTCGTCGTGGTGCTGTTGTAATAGTCAGGAAACGAAAAGAAAAGAGAACTTCACGGGCGCACCTTGTAAGCCCGTCCTCTGTTTGTGTCTATCCCCCCCATATTCCATCGTGTTTGACTCATTGTTGTTGTAGTTGCTGTGGTCTGTGTGTCACTACTACTGACTGACATATCCGAGTCGTTTGCATTGTTGTTGCTGTGCCATGCTGTCTGGTAACCGTGCTGGAGGGTATGGTAGTGTGTTGTGGTGAAGGTGACGCGTTCGTGATTGACATGTCACACCCATCACACCCATGTCACGGGTACGGGTTTTGCTGGGGTACGAAAATGCCAACCCGTACCCACCCGCGACCTCAACCCGTATGGGTTTGTAAACCCGTGACATTCCCTACAGACACCTGAAGGTTACTATCTCATCACTGATACAGCATTCCCTCAAGGAACAGACCAGATTGCAGGCTGTATTAGAGCTCCCATGAAAGACAGAACTTGTCTGCCTCTCAACTGTTTAGAACACAATAGACTCCTTCAAGAAGACCAGCAACTTTGATCATACAGGCAGACTGCTGAGTGGGGAATGCACACCATGCAAGGTACCTTTGGCCGCTTGTGCATACCCCTTCAAATTGCATACCACGAAATTCGGGGTGATCTCCTCGAAACCTTTGCTTGCCTTTTCAATCTCAGGGCGTGGGATGTTGGTATCAACCAGATACAGTCAGTTTATATGCCAATTTGGAGGGAGGATGAGCCAGAAGAATTTTGGATGACTTTTGAAAGTACCTTGTTTTCAACGCAGAGAAAGAATGATTGGGTTGGACATTTTCATATGATTGTAGTTGAATAACTTGAATCTTTGTGACTTGGACTTGGAAAGGAAGCAATGGGGAGTAACTACATTGGACATGAAGGAGTGTGAGGTAGGTAGGTAAGTTGAAAAAATATGTACACATAAAGTAAGATGATCGAGAAGTGGACTTGAACTACTTTGGAGCATAAGGACTGTATTGTAGTGAACTGAGGTGAAACTCTATGTAACTACATCGAGAAATGAAGGTGTGGTAGTCCAATTGGAGAAATTTATGTACATGGATAACAATAGGATTGAAAGTGGGGAAAGTGGGGCCACGGTTGCGTGATATGGTAATTAATCTTCTGTGTCACGGTGTGTACAGGTAGGTGGGTTACTATCAGCATGGCTGCAATGAGGAGAAATGATGACTGAAATACCAGTACATGGTTGTAATTGAGGGGTGACAACAATGTTGAAGTTGCTGTCCATGGTGAGGTTGTTGGATGGCTGGGAACAGGATGCAGGTGGATTGAAAGGAGTTGGAGGCTGACATGTCCACAGGAGGGTGTTGAGCAATTGGACCTTGAGTTTTTTCAACTTTGACTTTCCTATCAACTGGTTTGTCATCTTCATCATCGGAAGTGATGACAATGGTGTCACTGGCATTGACAATATCCCCATCATCAAGGTTGCGAGAGCCAGCCTTGTTGTTCATGAGCTTCTCAATTTCGTGAGTGTGTTGAATATGGGGGGGCATTCGGCATTGCCTGTTGGCTTCGAGGTTTTTACCAGCTGATGTAAATGTGTTAATATGTACCACATAAAAATAAATACAATGCTTGCCTGTTTGAACTTCAATTCCAATGATTTAGCAGTGCGTGCTGGTGAAATAGGGATTCCCTGCTCCAGAGCACAGTCATGTGCACGTAGATACACACATCACATGTAGTAGATACTCACCGCAATACCACCACTTACCCAGTCAGCTACATGCTGGGGAAGCCCTTCCACCCTACTTGGTGATGAGAGTGTGTTTTGTGCTTTAACACACTAGCATTTCTGCTGTATCTGCTGCCACATCATCAACCTTGTTGCATTGTCCGTCTTCCCTGTCCTATGCCATACATCCTACCACCAACCTACTGTCTTCGTCTCCATGTCCGTTGTGCCTTGTGACATCACCACCATCTGTCATACATCACCATGCCGGAAAAGAAGACCACTTCGAAGAAGAAGCCTGTCAGTCAGGCACTGCCAGCACCAGCATCCGCGTCAACAACTTTAGCAGCCACATCATCACCACCACCAGCTACAGAAGAGAGCATTGCAAAGCTCATTGCCCTTGCCACATCATTGCCAGACTCACCATTGGGTCTCGTCTGGAAGCATGCATTTGAGCAAGGGTCACAGGAAGGATTTAAGAGGGGAGCAGCCTTTTTCAAAGACATGGATGTAAAGCAGGCATTTCGTGAAGGGGCAGATCAAGGGCAGATTGTTGGGATATTGGCTGAGAGGGAAGTATGGGAGGTTGAAGGTCATGGTCAATGGTGCTTTGACAAGCCACTAACATGCTTCTCCTGCAACATAGGACTTCCTGAGGGACATAGCTGCACTGCCAACAAGCTTGACACTATAGTTCAGGTTGATTCCGTTGAGGCTCGACCACCCTCTGTCAAAGCTGCTATTCAGGTTTCTGCCACACACCATGCTTCCTCATCCCAGACTGGTCCACCACCTCTTCTTGTCAATGCTGAAACTCAAGCTCAGCCATGGATCTCACTCCTGCTGCTACAACTACTTCTACCCTGGATCCCCCAGCTTTTGATTGGTCTGAAGACACCACTGCCATACCCATTACTCCCATATTCCTGAGAAATCAACCTCACCATGACCTTTCAGCTCTCCGCACCTCCAAAGCCAACCCCTTCAGCTCATTAGCACATTGGAATCGCCGTTATTGATTGCCTTTGGGAAATCGTGACATTTCCGGGCCCTGGCCACCATTTCGGCCATGTCGAGCCCCACCATTCTCTCTGGTCTCACAAACTACTCCTCGTCAACACTTCATTCCACTCTTGAAGCCCACCACACCGCCATTACCATCAACCCCATTGAAGATTCCTAGTGCTCTTGATTAGGAATCCAATCCATGTCTCTCGGATTTGAGTCAAGCATTGAAGGCACTTGGTTTTAGTGATGCCACAGTCCAGTTTGGTCTGGTTCTCTCGCAGATTTTTTCAGAACCAAGAACTGGACTTTAGGTTCAGTTCTGTAATTTTTTCAAACTTAGAACCGGACCTTAGGTTCAAGTTCTTTAAGGTCCAGTTCAGGTTCAGCAGTAGGAGAACCAAGAACTGAACATTTAAAAAATTAAAAACACAAAAAGACATATTTTAACTTCAAAACACAAAAGCCCAGTACTCTACTTGTTAGCTTCTTCAACAGCATCCAAATCCTCCATGTCAATGGCCTCGATGTCTTTGAGAAGTAAAGCAAGGTGCCCACGTGCCTCAGCAGCAGCCGCAATATGTCTGTTATGGTATGCATGTTTGAGAATCTAGAGGCTCTCGAATATGGCGGGGGTAAGATGGTTGCGCTGCGAGGTGCCTGTCAATCTGCCACTGGAAAAGGCCCATTCAGATGCTGTGGAAGAGCCTTGAATAGCAAGGTAATCATGTGTGATTCAAGCAAGTGTGGGGTACTGTGATGCATGTTGCTAATATATAAACAAATCATCAGGGTCTATGTGCCATAAAAATTGTAAATGATTCAACGTACCCCCCACCAAAGGACAACATCCTTTGCTTGTTCCAATGGGCTGTCGAGATACATTCTAAGCTCTTCTCAGGGATTTGCGTTCACACGCTCTGCATCTTTGTGTGATCGGACAGATGCTTGCATCCAAGAGTAGCCATATGTGCCATTTGATGGCCCAGGAACATCTAAGTATGACAATCAGTCCTTTGACGAAAGTTAAAGATGAGTGTCATAAAAAGACTTACCTTCTGCATCCAAATTAGTCTTTGGTGGACTTGGTGTAACATAGTATGAGTCGAACTGTAGATGATAGGTGAACGTATCGTGCGAGCACAAACAGAAACTTACAAGTTCTTTGAGGTGTTGAACACCGGCATTGAAAAAGTCCATGTCCCATTTATCTTCGGTGTATGCAAGCTTGATGTTTGGATCAAGTGCTATTATCGGCAGACATTAGTTAATGACATGTGAGATATAATGATAATGTACCAAGGCAAATAAAATAGACATCAGTATCATCTACCTTATGATACCATTTCCGAAGATTTTCGAGGCCTTTATCAAGGGCAGATTCCATCTCTGCAAACTTTGTGACCTTGGACATATTCTCCCAGGATTGTTGGAGGAACTTGAGGATCAGAATGGTCCAAAAGACTGTGGGGATCTTTGTGCTGGAGAAACTTTGCTGGGCATTGGCGGGCTCCTGTAAGATAAGGTCAGAAAGTTCAACATCCATTTGAGAGATACATACCCAAAGAATTTCATGGACTAGTTCGATGTTCTTCCAGTCTCTTTTTGATAAGCAAAAGTCCGAGTATGATTTGCCCTGCAAGTCCAGAACACTCTTGCTATCATCAGCAAGAAGGACAAACTGATCGACGGCCTGTTAATGTAGCTTCAGTATGGTGAGAGTGAGGTTAACGGTTGACAGACCTTTCATATGACAAGCAGTCTATCAAGGAACATGTACATCAAGGCCCAATGAGTGTGAACCCATGTCAAGAGAGTAAGTGTTGGCAACTGAACTTGTTCACACATTCTGCAGAGGAAGGTGCATGCTTGGGGAGACTTTCGGATCTACAATAATATCAGTAATCTACATAAAAGTGGAGCAAACATCAATCTACTTGAGTGGCAAGGGCAAGTGCCTTCCCAACGGCGTCTGACAAACCATCAACATTATCATCTTTGTTGTCCTCCTCATCCTCACTGTTGACTGGCTCGCATTGAGTCATCTTGTCCACAAGACAGTGCGCTGCTGTCGGGGCCACAGTGCTAATGAAATGGCCAGCTGCAAGGTGGATTGCATGCTCCATGCACTTGGACAGAGGTGAGAACTGCTTCTGTCGTAATATCCTTGAAATTCTTACTGCACGCGACGTTGGGCTGGATCCCAGCCATCATCACCATCAGCATTCAGCAGCCGATTCAACTTGTGGATGGCAGTGTCGTTGTTACTTGTGTTATCGGCAGTGAACCATCTGATCTACAATGTGATCATCGTTGTTAGCTACCAGTACTCATGATCAACTCCATACTTACCTTGTCTGAAATCTTATAACGTTCAATAGTCTGGAATAAAATATTGGTGATGTTCAACCCGGAATGGTTGCCTTCGATTGAGGTGAAAGCAAGCTGCTCCTCACGTAACTCCCACTTCTGTGGATCGTCTTCTGGAGAGTCAATGTAATGGCCAGTGATTGATAAGTAGGGGTCTCCAGGCTCCAAAGTCCATGAGCCGAAGGTGAACAACACCTTCCAGGTATTGCCTGAAAATTGCGTGAATTATCTAAATGGAAAAGATGAATGTGTCAGTTACCTCAAGCCTCTTGCAAATCCTTTCCTCAGCAGTCACTGCACATGTTTCGATCTCCTTGCAGAGCTTAGTACGATGCGGGATGTCCTTCTCATTGAGGGAGGGCCGGGTGTACATGAGAAGCTGACGGAATGGTCCTTTGTCAACAAGCTGGAAGGCCTTGGGTAACAAAGTCAGTTGCCAATATCCAATGAAGCGATTAAATAAATACCTCGTCCTTGCACACTACTAGTTCTACAAGGTAATCAAGCAGTCCATCTGTTGTGAATGTCGGAGGGCATGCTTGGCAAGTGACGACATCATCTAAGCTGCCTTGTTTCATCCTAGAGCGAAGCTTTTGTCAGTAGAATAGCTGTGATACATTGAAGTAACATACCCATCTTTGGGACCTTCTTTTGGGGTTTGAAAAAGACATGGTCGTGCATCGGAATGCTAAGTTTGTCACAACGCTCCTTGTAGATTGCGATGTGGTCTGGGTGCCTATAGAAGATATGAGTCAAAAGACGATGCAAAGAGACAAGCCAACAACAAACTGGCCAATGTGGGTCCTTAAGGTAGTGATACCTCCTGTGAAAAAGCAAGCCTTGCGTTGTACTCCCTTCGACCTGTAATTTGTGTATAAGTCATTGTTTGAGATAGCGAAAAAACTGACTTACCGACACACTTTACACCAGTGCCCCTTTTCCATAGCTCCCGTATCAACATTCTTATGTTCATCGTCCTTCTTGAAGATGGTACACACATCTGCAGTGCGATCTTGCTTGGTGCGTGGCATAGCGGCCTGAAATGAGAGTTAAAATGGATATAATGATATGTAATAAAGTTGAATAACTTACCTCCTGGTCAGCCAATGTCATAGCCAGAGTTTCCCGATACTCTGCTTCGTCACCAGGTTCAGTTCCCACATCGACATCATCCCCCTCATCCTTGTCCTCGTCCTCATCAAAATCTTCTACAGCCACTAAGGGTGGCAGATCATTGTCGTCAAAGGAATCGTCTGAGTCATTGTCTCCAGGCTCGTTGGCAGACTTGCTGTTCTCAGTCTTCTGGGAGACTCGGTGGCCGTCAATGCTGCTATTCGCCTTGCATTTCACAGAGGCGCTCGACTCGGCGTTGTCAGGATCAACAAGCCTGGTGGAAGGACGCAAAGCACGAGTGCTGCAACGAGCACCAGCAACGATCCGAGAGGGAGGGGCACTGTGGGAGAAGAAGGGGTGGATACTAGAGGGTTTGGGTGGAGCTCCAGGGCCAGAAATGGGTGTCTCGTCATCTGGATTGTTATAAAACACAATCTCAGAGGTGTCGAGAAGCTTTCCAGTGGTGTCAACAGCACAGCCTAAGTCGGACATGTCAGGAGAGGGGTTGGGGTAGAATGTGGTGTTGTACTCACACTTTAATACAATAAAAAAAGGTGCAGCAGGCTGTTGAATCACAATTCACTGTCGTGTAAAAGATGGTGTTGGTGCAGCAGGCTGTTAAATTGTGATCCATTGTCACGTAAAAGACTGTGTTGCCTGGCTCCATGTGGCCATCAGCAAAAATGTGGAAAGTGTTGAGTGAACAGACCTTGAATTTCAAGAAAATGGCATCATTACGTGATGCAACATCACACAGAAAAAATATGGCGCCTGGTCTCATGTGGTTGTTAACAAAAGAATAGGAGTCCAAAGGAGATCTCACCTTATGCAATGAAAATGTTCATGTTATCACATGTTGAGAGTGTGCTTGAGATTAATCTAGGGGAATGCACAATGTCAACTCAGAAATCTGAAAGTTTTCAAAGTTGGTGCGAACTTACTTGTGTGTTTTTATCTACATCATGGACTCTTGTTGTATATCTGACTCCAAATGAGATCACCATCAAGAAAGACTGGATAGAAATTGTGTAGTGGTATGAGCACAGAACTAAGCGCTCACAAGTTGTGGAAACTTACCTACCAATTGTATGTCCCAGGCTCAGGGGACAGGAACATCAAAAAAGACTGAGGGATTGCATGTGCTGAGTGCAAGAATGAACCGAAAGGCCGACGGCAACACTGGCTTGTGTAGAGTCCAGACTGGCTTGGAAGATGTTGTGTACATGAAGTAGGCACGTGGAGTTTCAACATTGTTGACGATGACTATGCTTGACTAACAAATCACATCAGACAATAATCAGACTCAGTTTGGACCAGTCCAAACCCATTCACATGGCGCCCCCTCTAAAGGAACTGGGAACCAGACAAATGGTCTGGTTCCCCCTATGCGTTGAATTTTGGACCAAAGCTTGGTCCGGTCCTGCAAGGTTCGGGTTTGAACTTTGGTTCAGAACCTGACTGCGGCATCACTACTTGGTTGGATTCGTCAGTGAACTTTCTTCAAGTTTACATTCCTACTGTGTCCATCACATCTTTTTCTTTCATTGCTTTGCTTAATTCTGGATTTCTACTCTACATTTTTCTTAGTCCTTGTAGATTTCTTCTTCTTTTTCAGCAGCTGGCGATGGGGACGTCGCCTTATGGGAAGGGGGCAGATGGAATATGGATTCCCTGCTCCAGAGCGCAGTCACATGCACATAAATACACACATCACATGTAGTAGATACTCACCACAATACCACCACTTACCCAGTCAGCTACACACTGGGGAAGCCCTTCCGCCCTTTCCACTGGATGGCCATTCTCCTCAGCCCATTGATTGTAATCGTTCACAGCCAAATTCCAAGCTTTCCCACCAAGTGGTAGCTGCTCCTCGAGGATGTTGAATAGCCCCTCAAGATCCTCAGGGGCATAGTTGGTGATGCCAGTTGCACGACCTCTTGGCTTCTTCACATCTGCACTGTGAGGTGTGGGAGCGGATGCTTTGCATTTTCGAATTCCTGAACCCAAAGTGACAGGCAGATCAACAGCCTTCTGCTTACCCTTGCCCTTTGACTTGGAATGGTGAACACCAGCAACTTTACTTGCAGCACAGGCCATTTTTTCGAGAAGGAGATGAGGGGAAGGGAAGTCTTCATCACCATCATTGGGAAGAGGAATGGACATGGGCTCAGCTGCCGTAAACGAGCTTGCTGATGAATTTGGGTGTGCATAGCCGAAGCTGTGAGGAACGTGAGGGGCATGCAGGTGCTGACAGACGATTAGTTGTGTGATTGATGAAAAAAGGTTTGAATCTACCTGGATATCCATAGAATGGGCAGGAAAGCCATATTGAATGTCCTGAGTGTAACCCAAACTCGGCACTGCAGGTAATTAGGGCAGACAGATTGAGAACAAAATTAAATGACTTATGCCAGGGCACTGTTGCATACCATTGAGACCACTACTGATGAATCCATTGTGAAAACTTGGTAGCTGTGGCTAAATCATCCTGTTAAGATCAAATTTGAATACTCAATTTTGTTCTTACCTGAACTTGATGGGGGCCCCATTGTGCATTTCCACCAAAGTGAGGATACTGGTTTCCATTCTTGTTGATGTAGGCTTGTTGCTGGGTATTTTCAGGAGTAGATATTGAAAAAGGAGGGTAATAGATGAGACCAATAGGCTTGAAACAAGAGACTGAAGTGAGTTTGAGAATGAAGGACGTAAAAAAACACAAACACACTTATATTTTTCTGTTAACACCACTCCTTGGAGAAAAAAGACATCATATCATCCACCTGTGACCTTGCTCTCCACCATTACCTCAGAGGTGACCTGTGGACTGCATTCTATGAGTCAAGATGGATATCTGCTCTCTGCAAAGATACCAGTCTTTGTCGAAGGTCAAAACAGACAAAACTCACACAAAACTTTGAGAAGACCTACCTCTTCGCAAATTGAATCTTGCTCTGTATATCGCTGAGGGTTGAGGAGGCGCAGATGGGTGTGTTAGTTGTGAAGCGTCATCCACAACAGAGATATGAGAGACGATAAACAAGGGTCAAGTGAGATCGATCGATGTCAGACAATGAAAAAAGGGTTTAGTCAGACAATTAGAACTAGAAGGGGGGGGGTTGGAGGCCTAGTCTAGATTAAAATCTAGAAGAGGGTGCTTGATGACAAGCAGAGTTGAATTTTGACAGATTGCAACCTATTTGGCAAGCGGCATGGTGGCATGTCAGTTTAGAAAAATAATCTAGGTTTCTAAACCTTATGGGAAGTCATCCATTACCTCCCTACCTTTTTACTACCTAAGACTTGTAGTAGAGTACCTTTGTCCACATTGGGATGTATCCTTTCCCATCAATGCTACAGTTGAGTGCAAAAAGAATGAAGGTTGGTTCATTTTTCTGGTTCTTTCTAAGAATCTATTGTACCTCAAATGTGTTTGTGTATTCTTTTACATTATGTAGTTGTGTTACACTTCCCTTGGTATGGACTAATTTCAGTGAAAGCTGGAGCCTTGAGAAGGTTTTTATTCTGGAGGCCATTTTTGGCATCTGAAAAAAAAATATGCGCTAACTGGGGAGGTAGCCAGAACATACCTCTGGTCAACCTGAATGAGCCTATCAAAGAATTAGTTAAAAATACTGAGTGGTTATGCTTGTAGAGCCTCCAGAAAATGGTCTTTTTGTGCTATTTTGGTCATTTTTGGCCTGTTTTAGACAAAACAAGCCATTTTCCAAAGCCTCTACAGACTTAACCAATCAGTATTTTTGACTGATTCTTTGATAGGCTCATTCAGGTTGACCAGAGGTATGTTCTGGCTACCTCCCCAGTTAGCACATATTTTTTTTTTTTCAGATGCCAAAAATGGCCTCCAGAATAAAAACCTTCTCAAGGCTCCAGCTTTCACTGAAATTAGTCCATACCAAGGGAAGTGTAACACAACTACATAATGTAAAAGAATACACAAACACATTTGAGGTACAATAGATTCTTAGAAAGAACCAGAAAAATGAACCAACCTTCATTCTTTTTGCACTCAACTGTAGCTGTACACTTGTTGCATCCCATCAATGCCATCATTGCTTTATCATTGCTGACTACCAAATCCAGTAATGGTTCTCACCATGGGCGTCATCCCGCCATCCTGCCCCCCAGTGATCAACATGGCGTTTCCACTGTTACTGGGCCGTTTCCCCTCAAATATTTTGCTAGATATACTGTTCTGTAGTGTGTTATGTATATTATAAGGTTGATTCAATGGTTCCCTGCCCTAGAGCATCACAATGTGCTGTGCAGATGATTATAGTGGTGACCAATATCAGTATCCATCTCCTGGGAGGTCTCTGAGTGAAATGGACACACCATACAGGTAGTAATATGCTCACTGGGGATGGGGGAGATGTCCTATAGGCTATAACATCCTCAGAACATGCATTCATGGTAGAGTAATTGAGATAATTCCCCCCCTCCCCCCCATGGTATACCCCCACTACACCGCCAATTGTTCAAAATGCTGATGGCATCTGGCACGAATCTCCGCTTGACAGGTTTTTGATGGAGGTTGCCTCAGCATGGATGGCAGGTGTGTCGGAGCTTGGGGCGTAAATGTTAGCCCCAGCGGCTCGACAGCTGACCCACAGGTTTCTGACTCTTCTTGAGGAGACATGTACCTCCAACTTTCTTTGGGCAACGAAATAGTGTACTTAAGATATAAATTAATCATAAGAGAGTAATAAAATGATACAATGAGCACTCCCAAGCTCTTACAGGTGGAAAAATTGGGGGAAATTGAGCTCAACGTGAAAAGGTCCATGCGACAAGCTCTCAAAAAATTCTTTTAAGTCGTTTAAACTCCGCGCTATGTTTGGTTACTTCCAAACTTCAACCAGAACCAAATTCACTTTCTTCTTTGCCACAACCGTCTCCCATCGCCCAGCTGTCAAGTTGCTCCCATCCTCGTTCCTAAACCCTCTGTGTCCTCATGTAAACTCCCTCATGTTGTTGTTTGGGTTGTCCTTGTTCCCTACCCGTGCGCCTGTGCACGGTCATGTCACTGCTCTGGGCCTTTGTTTCCGCCCAATGCCCCTTTCACCACGAACGGCGATGAGGGCCCATCAACACATCAACAAACAGTGCCGAGGGCCACCACCACCACTTCCAACAACGAGGGCCCAGCATCACCGTCAATGAACAACAACGAGCACCACCCACGACCCCCGTCAATGAAGGGTGACGAGCGCCCACGACCATCAACGAACCACGTCTAATGCACACCACGGTTCACCACCATCGACGAACAAGTACAAGAGCCCACGACACCATATATGAACGGAGACGAGCGCTCACAACCACCATTAACCAACAGCCCACCACCTACAGCAACAAGGGCCCAGCATCACCGTCAACGAACGGCTACTAGGGCCTGCAACTACCACCACCTCCAATGAGGGCTCAGCACCCATCAACGAACGGCGACGAATGCCCACCACCACCCCGAACCACGTCGAACGCCCACCTCCACGAATCACGTCGAGTGAAATCAGCTTGGTCGACACCACCACAAACAGTGCCCACGAACCCTCCTATGTACGGTCCTGCATCAGTGGGGTGACCAGTGCGTTGACCACGTAACCAACCACGGCTCACTCTTCTTCTCGCGTGGGTGAGCCAGGTCCATTGGGTAGTAGATAGAGTAGTTAACCCCTGTGTTCCCCCTCCTCAAAATACAATTCATTCTTTTGTTTATGTGTTCGAATCGAAGTTTATTGTGGTACAACATATTAAAAGAGAAATACAAAAGATGTGTTTCTAGCTGTAAGAGATGACAGAAAACATTAACCAGCCATGTTGACCCTCAGCTAGGTTGAAGGCCACTGGATTTCCATCAGTGGCCTTCGCGCCCCAGCTGTCCCCAACGTTTGACCAAAACGTCAAGGCAACATCAACCTGGTGACATGATGCTATTAGTTGTTTTTCAACTCTTGGGAAATGTTACATCAGCATGTCTGACAGGTGGCGCCGGCTTGGGATCAGGCCCTGGCTTCCAGGTCTCTCACACATTTTTATCAATTGACGGTGTAGAGCATCCATAAAGCAAGGGATAGAGAGTATATTACATATAACTGATTTAGGGTGGCTCAGAACAGGCATCTGAGGGTTCAGGGTATGTGTATTGCTCAATATGCCCTGAGGACATATAAATTTCTATGGAAGCTCCAGGGCATTATTATCTGATAGAAGGGTAGTATAATAGCATAACAATGAGAATATAAGGTTGTATTTGGAGCACTTTACATGGGGAATGGTGCATGGAGAGGGGGAGGGGGAGACATACTACCCATCAGTTACATCACCAATGACCTTCATTTACCACATATAACAGCTGATTCACATACTACAGGATACCCTTGGTCAACTTGCAGCAAGTAGGTAGCCTGGGGATGGCTATAAGAAATTATTTGAGGGAGGTGAACAGAAGTCAGTGAAAAGTGCGAAATTGGCATACTGTGACCTTGCCATTTTAGATAAAAAATATATGAGGTGGTAGAAGGTAGGGCTGGGGTAGCTTATGGGTGGTTCAAAAGAAATTACAATGATTGACCAGATAATGATTACAGGAGGTTAGATATGGAGCAGGATGATGGTACATGGATAGTTACTGGTTGTGACCCTCCATATCTCTGTATGCATCATTGCAGCATCAAGACACCTCTTTCAAACCTCCTGCCTTGCTCATCTGCTCAATATTTTTAATTCTTTTTGAACCACCCATAAGCTACCCCAGCCCTACCTTCTACCACCTCATATTTTTTTTATCTAAAATGGCAAGGTCACAGTATGCCAATTTCGCACTTTTCACTAACTTCTGTTCACCTCCCTCAAATAATTTCTTATAGCAATCCCCAGGCTACCTACTTGCTGCAAGTTGACCAAGGGTATCCTGTAGTATGTGAATCAGCTGTTATATGTGGTAAATGAAGGTCATTGGTGATGTAACTGATGGGTTGTATGTAGTGTTTGAAAGTCTGGTCCAGTCTGGTCTTTTGGTGCCCAGCGCCTTAGACCGTAACTGTAACCAGTCCTCGCAATTCCAGAAACTTCAAAAAACCAGACCGAACTGCAACAGACCAGTCTTTTGCAGTTACAAGACCAGTTTTAACCAGTTCTGGTCTTGACTGGTTTGTGACTGGTCTAGACTGGTCTTTGTAGGGGTCAGGTAGCCATGAAACAATGATATTCTAAGTATTTTAATTTACGAAGTCAGTGTACACAACTTCGTAGTGACGTGCACAGGTAACTGCAGGTGTATCCACATCTATTTACCATCTGTTGACGTGCCAGGTCGTCGTCAACATCCACCATTCATCATTGTTCGTCTGTGTATCATTGTCTGCCTGTGTATGTTGTTGTTCATCTGTGTATCATTGTAGTCATTGTTCGTATGTATGTAGTCAATGTTGTTCATCAGCCATGTTGTCGTCAATATATGCCATCGGTTGTCATTCATCTGGGTATCATCATTGTCGTTGTTCATCTGTATGTAGTTGTCATTGTTCGTCGGTTATTCATTGCCATGCAACTGATGGCAATGTGGCCCCTGGTTCTCATGTCAAAACAGGAGAGGCTGAGGGGAGTCCTATTGCTCACCTGGGTTGATGCAGACAGTGACGACAACATGGGTCGTCACTGTCTGGACGACGTGGCACATCTGTTGATGTGCCAGGTCATCATCCATCTGCATGTTGTTGTTGTTTGTCCATGTTGTTGTTCATTTGTGTTGTTGTTGTTTGTCCATGTTGTTGTTGTTTGTCAGTTGTGGGCTGCCATGTCTCCATTTGCAATGTGGCCCCTGCTTCTCATGTGAGAAAAGAAGATGGGGAGGGGAGGTAAGCTACTCACCTGAGTCACCTCAACTAACATGAACAGCAACGATGACATGTGTCATCGCTGTCTGGACGATGTGGCACATCAATGGACGTGCCAGGTCATTGCCATCCATTGTCATGCTGGGTCATTGCCATCTGTCATTGCCATCCATCATCGTGCCAGGTCGTCACCATCCGTCATCATGCCAGGTCATCGCCATCTGTCGTCGTGCCAGGTCGTCGCCATCCAATTGCCATTCATCATCATTGTTTGTCCATTGGGCTGGTGATGTGGCGTTGCCAAGTTGTCGCCATTGTTGGGGTGGTTGGCAGTGGTTGAATGATGATTGCAGGAGGTGGTGGGAGTCGTGGTGATGGTGGTGTGGTGTGGTTGAGAAGGAAATTGTTTGTTTGTTGTCGATTTGTTGATGAACACATTTGCATTGGTTCTTGATTGGTTCTCATCAAAAATATAAGAAGTAAATATATTCTAAGTTCCCTCAAGACTCGAAGCTCGAAAGACTGGTCTATGACTGGTTAATCTGGTTTTTGCTCGGTCTTGAAATTTTGGAATCAGTAGAGGACCGTAGACTGAACCGCAGTTATGGTCTTTGTTGGTCCTGATAATTTGCAGTCTTGATCGGTCACAGTCTGGTCTGGTCATGGTCTTTTTCCAGTCCTGTGACCGGACTTCCAAACACTAGTAGTATGTCTCCCCCTCCCCCTCTCCATGCACCATTCCCCATGTAAAGTGCTCCAAATACAACCTTATATTCTCATTGTTATGCTATTATACTACCCTTCTATCAGATAATAATGCCCTGGAGCTTCCATAGAAATTTATATGTCCTCAGGGCATATTGAGCAATACACATACCCTGAACCCTCAGATGCCTGTTCTGAGCCACCCTAAATCAGTTATATGTAATATACTCTCTATCCCTTGCTTTATGGATGCTCTAGTGGGGGTATACCATGGGGGGGAGGGGGGGAATTATCTCAATTACTCTACCATGAATGCATGTTCTGAGGATGTTATAGCCTATAGAACATCTCCCCCATCCCCAGTGAGCATATTACTACCTGTATGGTGTGTCCATTTCACTCAGAGACCTCCCAGGAGATGGATACTGATGTTGGTCACCACTATAATCATCTGCACAGCACATTGTGATGCTCTAGGGCAGGGAACCATTGAATCAACCTTATAATATACATAACACACTACAGAACAGTATATCTAGCAAAATATTTGAGGGGAAACGGCCCAGTAACAGTGGAAACACCATGTTGATCACTGGGGGGCAGGATGGCGGGATGATGCCCATGGTGAGAACCATTACTGGATTTGGTAGTCAGCAATGATAAAGCAATGATGGCATTGATGGGATGCAACAAGTGTACAGCTAGCATTGATGGGAAAGGATACATCCCAATGTGGACAAAGGTACTCTACTACAAGTCTTAGGTAGTAAAAAGGTAGGGAGGTAATGAAAGTTATTTCCCAGAGTGTTGGAAAAGTGGTTTTGTATCTAGTTAGACAGGAACAAGGAAATTGAGTTCCTATCTAACAGGACCAAACAATCAGGGTTCACAGGTGTAAGGAACGAACTCTGAGATGGTGTTTGAATGGACAAGCCGAACTTCTCATGCAAACCTTATCAGTCTTGACATGCTTGACACTCAGTAAAATTACTAACAATGAAAGTCAGGTCAAGTCATCCACTCCTCACAATATGGTCGTGTGAAGTCATGTTGGTAAGGTTAAAGTCATGTGGCCCTCAGGTACATGTTTGCTAAGATTTTATGGCCTGACTGAAGTCAAGTAATAGTTAAGTACATGCTGTGTTGTAGTCTAGTCCTAGTCTAGTCCTCATCTGAATCACTCTCATCTGTATCATTGCCTTCATCCCCTTTTCCACACTCAACTGCACTTAACATTGCCAAACCTGGATGCTTCCTCAACACATAAATATTTTCAGATGCCTCAGCACTCCATACTGTACCATTTCGATCAATCCGGAAGGCCATGTTGTGTGTTACATGCCTGCCAAAATTTTGAATTTGGCACATATGGCAAATGACTGTTACATAGAATGTTTTTTGGCAGATAGGGGGGAACAGCCATTACATTAGGCACCATCAAGTCACCATGATAGTGACCATAATTTCAGATATACATCCTGCAGATTTAACTATTCTAACAATTTACCACCCACATCAAATATGGCTGAAGGGATCAAGCTTCCCAATGTTCCCCTAGATATTTGAGCATGAATTCTCCCTGATAGAGATATGTCAGTTATTGATTTCCTCAAGTTCCCCCTTCCTGTCATATCTTGTTCTTCTGTTACCAATCCTCACAAATACCTCTCACTACTGTCTCTGACAATTAAGTACCAACCTTGAAGAAATAACATCCATACCAACTCCAGCTTCAACACTGGATGAACTTATCTGATTACCAGATGTTGCGTTGTTCCAATCCATACTTTGTCCACATGCTGTTGGCTTAACTGGTGAACAACTCCTGATATGGATACTAGACTACTGGAATCAAATAGCCCATATACACCCCCTCAAAGTTAGGTGGGGAACAGCTGAAGACAACTTACAAATGCAGAGGTGCAATGAAGCAACCAACAATACAAAATCATTGGTTATCCAGTTTTACAACACATTAGCCTGTCTTGTATGGTCAGTCAATATCAAAGGTTTCTGGGCAGCAATTACAACAAATTACTTTGTCTAGTGTTCACAGGTCCGGTTTTTTGCCTTTTTGACCCTTTTTTTGAGCCAGAACATTGCTGTGAAAAATCCCCATCACATTCGGGGTTGTGGAACACAAAATTTTAGAATTTTTTCGGTCTTTTAGGACCAGAAAAAACCGGACTGACCCTGAAATTTTGTGTTCTAATACCCCAATTGTGATGGGGATTTTTCACAGCAATGTTTTGACTCAAAAAAAGGGTCAAAAAGGCAAAAAAAACCAGACCTGCAAACACTAACCTTGTCCCTTATTTCACAAGAGAATGGTTCTCTGATGAATCTTCTTCATCAACAGGTGTGGAGAGAGAGACTCCAGGACAGGATCGACGTTACCAACACATTTTTCATACAATGGTTGACCAAGATATTCCAGGATCCGGAAAGGGATGAATATGCTATGAATTCCACCTATGCATGGATTTGAAAGAAAGGCCAAGAGCTTTCTACTGGAGTGTATGAGATGCTTGCAACCATTGGGTGGTGGTTGTTCTAGATTTCAAAGAATTGAGAATTCAATATGGCGACTCAATGGATGGATCAATTGATGAAGATCTGGAGGCCGCACTGACCTGGTGGATCCATCAACATACTGGAAGACACTTTACAACTTCCTACCCACCTATAACACAGCAGCGAGATGGACATTCATGCAGAATCTTAGCCTGGAACATGCTTGCCACACACCACACACATCCTGTCGACAACATATTCATTGATAAACATCAAGGCAGTTGTGCATGAGAGGCTGTGGATGTTTCTCTGAATCGCAAATCACCACAACAAAAGAGTATGCAGCATTATTTCTATGGATATATTACAACTGACATATGTTCAGTCATTCGAAGCACAGCAGAAGGGTACAAATTCACCTTTGAAGCACTGGAACCCAATTCATCTGACTCAGATGACATGGGAAAATCACTTCTTCCCTGAGGGTATCCAGGGTAGACCCTGGATACCCAGGGGCTGTCACAGAACTCTGGGCATCTGGGCACCCTGGAGCACCCTCAGGTACAGGTTCCTTTTTTTGATTTCCCAGTAGCAACCTGAGGTTGTCCTGAGGTGCACTGAGGTTGTCCTGGGGTGGCCTGGGCTGTCCTTAGAGAGCCCTGAAGCAGACCCTGGAGTCCACTCAACAGACAAACATAGTAGTATCAATAATTATTAAAGATATATTTAAGACACATGGATAGAAGTAGATTAACAATTACTGTAAGTAACTAAGTAGAAACTACTTCAGATGGCAGATAGATGAGGATGGGGGAAGACAGGGTCTCACCCATCATTGTCGTCATGTCATGGTCCCCTTGTGGTTGCACCTTTGTGTCGTCATTGTGTGGTGGTGTCATTGTTGCGTTGTTGTGGTGTCATTGTTGCATAGTCTTGTTGTAGATGCATGGTGGTGTTGTTGTCATGTGGTGGGTGTCATGTACGCATGGTGGTGTCATTATCGCATCCTTGTGTCATTGTGTTGTGTGGATGCATGGTGGGTGTTGTGGATGCTTTCAGCATTGTCGTTGTGTGGCATGTTGTGTCATGGTATGTCATGTCATGGTGTTGTCATTGTGGTGTGGTGTCATGTCACATTGTCTGTTGGTGGGTTGGGATGGGGGTGCTCACCAGTGGGTCATGAAATAAATAAAAATGATGAATGACAAATCGGTTGTTGTTCATCATTCAGTTGCCACCTGGATTCACTATCAAAGGAAGAAGAGGGAGGGTGGGGTTGTGATGACTCACCTGGGCTCACACAGCTGATGGTGACAACATTGTGCATCATCACCATCAGATGACACCACATCATCATCGTCACCTCATATCCTCATATGGAGCTCCTGGTGACGTGGTGGTGGACGGAGTCAACATGTCATCATTGTGGTGTGGTGTCATGTCATGTTGTCTGTTGGTGGGTGATGTTAGAGAGGTGGGTTGGGACAGGGGTGCTCACCAGTGGGTCATAAATAAATAACCATGTAGCGTGCCTTTGGGTGCAAAACCCAATACCCAAATTTCTTAACCATCTAAACATCATTCGTAATGCTATTACCACATGTGGTACAACACATCACATGACCATACCAACTTCCATCAATTCACTCTTACACTTTCTAAGGCAGCTCATAGCTATAACTTCACGAGTTTTACACCTTTTGGCCTCTATGTAGGCTCGTTTTAATCGCTTTATTTACGTGAATGCAACCCACCTTACAGCGTGAAAAAATTTAAAGTATCTCACAAACTGTAGCATAAACTATTTGACCTGTAGTAGAGATGTAACATATATTATATCATCATGAGTTTTCCTCCATTTTATGGCATTTTAGGCTTGTTAGAAATGCACAAATTAGAGCTTTAACACGGGTCTGAGAGCCCCTAAAATTTTGACGTTTAAAATGACCTTCGATAACATTTACCGTTTTGGGGCAGATTCTTCGCCAGTAATTGGTCCATAGCCCTGCAAGTTCTGTACTAAATGCTACGTATATAGACGCGTTGGAAACAGCTTACACACCGCTTTTCAGCGCAAAAAAAAAAACACAAAAAACGAATATGTTTTGCAAAGGATACCTTATCTTCTTTATTGTTGCAATTTTTGTAGGTCATTCAATCTCTGGACAGTGGTGTACTTTCTTCTTGTTCCAGTCTTATTTTGATTATACATGATTCATATACAATAATGAATGTTCTTTCTATTGGAATCTAGTATACTTGTAGTTCCAGGTTATCTCAGGACAGTTCACGTTGCCCCAGGACATCCTGTGATGCCTTGTGACACCCTGGGCAAAAGCTTACAAACATGTTTGTCCCAGGAAAAACATGATTTTCCTGATGTCATGAGGTGCCACCTGTTCAACATGAATTTGATAATGAAACTACAGACCACAATGTTGATCAGCTTCACCATGACAAGACTGAAACAGATTTCATACCTGATGACATGACTACATTTCCACCAAGACCTCATGCATCCACCCCACCCCACTCATCCTCTACATCTACATGTTTGTTGAGCCCAATATCTTGTCCTTCCACTCCACTGCCATCTACAGCAAAATGGCCATTACCTGAGCCAACTTCACCACCTAGTATGCCGGCTCACAAGAAAGTTGCATCTTCAGTACAAAATGTGTTAGAGTTTTCGAAGGATACTGGAGAGCCTAAAGGGGGACTGCTTTGTTGGTTCAAACCTGGAACACAAGCCAATACAAAAGCTTACTGGGACTGACAAGAGGAGGAGGCTGCTGTGAGGCAATCAAAAGATGAGCACATTGCTGGAAATATAGCTATGGAAAAGAAATCGCATGATCAAGAGTTAGTACAGCTTTGAGTGCAGAAACATCAGGCATCACAGAAGCAAAATGAGATATGGAGCAGTGTACGTAGTCCAGAGGGCAAAAAGAGAAAGGTATGCCCTAAAAAACTCAAAAAGAGATGGGACTCACTAAATAAGTGTAGATTGTTGATGTAGAACTTGAGGACTCAGTTGATCCATCCTTGAAGAAGATCAAAGGAGACATTGCTGAGCTAACACGACATGAGAGAGGCATGAAAGACAAAATACACCAGAAGAATTGCACACCTCAAGGTTGGAAACAGAAGCCCAAAAACATGCCACATCCTGCCAAATACTATGACTGGCTGACTCCTCTGTGCTGGATGCATATAGTCATCATTGTGAAAAAGGTTGGCTGGAAAATGGGAGCATCAGATATCACAAAGGAATTAAGAAAGCGAGACCCAATTACCTTCTAAAAATCAGTTGTAATACAATCAAGGGATGGATTGACTGCAATGGTGAAAGACCATGCTGGAAGGTGTCCGTTTTGTGGCAAGTACAGAGTGGAGAAGGTCCTGGTCACAATAAAGGAGGTTCTCGAGGGATCTTGATAGGCTCATGGTCTTCAACAACTGCAAAACACTAACAATACTTAAATCAGCACATCCAGAAGTGGTTGCCACAATAAAATCACAACTAGAATTCCTATGCAAACGTGGCTCACTGATTAGCCTTCTAACTGCCTGTGCAATCATTGTGTCCACCATTCTACATATGAAGCCCAAGATCTTCAAGACAAAGTTTAAGGATGGTTCAATGTTTCGCATATCAGACTCCTTTGTAAGGAAGTTCCTCATATATATCACTTGGGTACTACAAGTCCTCAGCTGACTCATGTGTTCACTCTAATGTTCTTGATCAGGAGTACACCATCACCAGCACATTTCTGGTGCTTTTTTAATGGAGAAGGAAGCTAAGAGGTCAAAGGATGAGATTGAGGTGCATTTTAAGATTAAGAATGTGGGGGATCTGCATACAGTGAGCCCTTGTACCACTGGCCATTTTGTGGAGATTGATATGATGTATATAGGTTTCTTTGCCAACTTTTCTCTGGCAAATTCCATGATCATGAATGGTCATTATAAAAGTGTATGTGTGCTCCTTGGTATTCTTTACCTTGCCCTGATTCTGTAGTCAAATGTTACGTTAAATCATCTATTGGCTACTAACAATAAGCTTATCAATTATCCACTACTAAAAGGTCAACCTGATCATCACTTGCTATCCTGAAACTCATCCACACATAGAACCATATGAAGTTCTGAATAAAGAGCCAGGGCAGTGAGAAATAATTTCAATAATGTTAGTATCATATACTTCCTTCCTTTCTGCATTGTGGTTGCAAGCAATCATGCTTTTTGAAATCCTCAAGGTATGTAAGGAGCAGTTTTACTTGGATATTTGGAGCACACCCATGGCAGACATATACAAGAATGAATTTGGAATATTGTGGGTGAGATTTACTATATGTCCTACTGAGAGTTCAGATAAGAAATCATAATATGAAAAACATTAGAACACTGTAATACCTTTCTCTTCAATATTTTGGAAAGTTTACTTGCAATTTTGGAAAGATGGTGGGCTGAAATTATTAATAATTGAATTGATTGAACTCTACAGTAGATCAGGCTCACCCTTCTTCTTTGATTCAGTTCCTGATATATCTGTGTGGACTTGAGATCCAATTGATGCAGGTAATGCTACTGCTTCGACTGTTTTTGAATGTTCTGCTCCAATAGGTTCGTTTTGCATATCCAGAACTTGTGTTTGGAGATTCTTTGCATCTGCATATTTTTCTAAACTCTGGTGTGTAACTGCAAGGCTACTCATGGCACTAATTGCATCTGGGTGCTCTTCCCCAAGTAGGCTGTTTCTTAGGTTTAGAACATCAATTTTAAGCTTCTCTGCATCTGCATATTTTCCTAGACTCTCATATGTAGTGGCAAGATTACTCATGGCAGTAATTGTGTCTGGATGTTCTTCTCCAAGAAGTTTCTTTCTTATCTCTAGAACTTGTATTTCAAGCTTCTCTGCCTCTGCATATTTTCCTAGACTCTTATGTGTAACTGCAAGGTTATTCATGGCAGTAATTGTACCTGGGTGGTCTTTTCCAAGAAGTCTGTTTCTCACATCCAGAACTATTTTGAGCTTCTCTGCATCTGCATATTGTCCAGAACTCTGGTATGTAAGGACAAGATTATTCATGGCAGTGATTGTATCTGGGTGTTCTTCTCCAAGAAGTTTGTTTCTCATATCCAGAACTTCATTTTGAGCTTCTCTGCATCTGCATATTGTTCCAATTTGTCATATGTATTGGCAAGATTGCTCATGGCAGTAATTGTATCAGATGTTCTTCTCCAAGAAGTTTGTTTCTCATATCTAGAACTTGCATTTTAAGCTTCTCTGCATCTGCATATTGTTCTAGTTTGTCATATGTAATGGGCAAGATTGCTCATGGCAGTAATTGTATCTGGATGTTCTTCTCCAAGAAGTCTGTTTCTCATATCCAGAACTTGTATTTTAAGCTTCCCTGCATCTGCATATTTTTTTAGTTTGTCATATGTAATGGCAAGATTACTCATGGCAGTAATTGTATCTGGATGTTCTTCCCCACGAAGTCTAGTTCTCATATCCAGAACTTGTATTTTAAGCTTCTCTGCATCTGCATATTTTCCTAGTTTGTCATATGTAATGGCAAGATTGCTCATGGCAGTAATTGTACCTGGATGTTCTTCTCCAAGAAGTCTGTTTCTCATATCCAGAACTTCTATTTTAAGCTTCTCTGCATCTGCATATTGTTCCTAGTTCGTCATATGTAATGGAAAGATTACTCATGGCAGTAATTGTATCTGGATGTTCTTCTCCAAGAAGTCTGTTTCTCATATCCAGAACTTGTATTTTAAGCTTCTCTGCATCTGCATATTTTCCTAGTTTGTCATATGTAATGGCAAGATTACTCATGGCAGTAATTGTACCTGGGTGTTCTTTTCCAAGAAGTTTCTTTCTCATATCCAGAACTTGTATTTTAAGCTTCTCTGCATCTGCATATTTTCCTAGTTTGTCATATGTAATGGCAAGATTACTCATGGCAGTAATTGTATCTGGATGTTCTTCTCCAAGAAGTCTGTTTCTCATATCCAGAACTTGTATTTTAAGCTTCTCTGCATCTGCATATTTTCCTAGTGTGTCATATGTAATGGCAAGATTACTCATGGCAGCAATTGTATCTGGATGTTCTTCTCCAAAAAGTTTCTTTCTTATATCCAGAACTTCAATTTTAAGCTTCTCTACATCTGCATATTTTCCTAGATTGTCATATGTATTTGCAAGATTGCTCATGGCAGTAATTGTATCTGGATGTTCTTCTCCAAAAAGTCTGGTCCTCATATCCAGAACTTGTATTCGGAGCTTCTCTGCATCTGCAAACTTTCCTAAACTTTTGTATGTACTTGCAAGGTCACTCATGGCACTGATTGTACCTAAATGCTCCTCTCCAAGATTTCTGCTTCGTTCATCCAGTACTTCAATTTGAATCTTCTCAGCTTCACTGTCATACCCCTGTTCACTCAATATTCTTCCAAACTTTTCATGAGCATCATCGAAGTACCTATTTTCCATCTCCTTTTGTAACTTTGCACTGTGCATTATATTGGCTCTCAAATGAGTAACCAGAACCCTTCTGAACTGGTATGGCTGCTCATCAAAGTCTTCTGGCAGAGAGCAAGCTAACATCACATATGCCATCAAACAGTATTTCTGTCTATCTTCTGAGGACATTCTATCTCTTCCCCATGCATGAATAAGTGGATGCATGGTGTAGATACCTTTGGATGAAATCTGTTTGATCAGGCTGAAAGACAGTAATTCTCGAAGTCCTTCTTTGAAGATGAAATTATGCCATTTTCCTGTGTCATGAAGCTGAAGCAGTGTGCGATCTATTATGGAGCTTGCAAGTGGTAAGGCAGAACTCTGTTCATTTTTTTCATGCATTTGAGTAGCAGCATAAGAAAAGATTGCCTCAGTAATACCATCAAAATGAAAGAAGGCAAATATTGCAAGCAGAAACATTGCACTTTTGGCTGCCTCAGCTCTTTCAGAATCATCACTTTTAGCTCTTTGCTGAATTTCTTTGAATGATAGCTCCCAAGTTCCATACACAGATCTGTTATATTTAGATGCCCCTTTGAAAGCTGGGTAAGATAATAATCTTTCTCTGTATTGAGAATAATCATCAAGATAGTCTCTGATGTTGGTGTCCCCATAAGCAATGAAAGCACCAGCCTGATCAATAGCCAGAGGAATGAAAAAGAGCTCATTCACAATCTTAGAAGCCTCAGATTGTAAATCTTCCTGGGACTCATCCAAGCCAGCAGCTTTTAAGAGTAAAGAAATGGCATCATTTTCTTCCATTTCTTTCACCTCAAGAGAACTTTCATGTGAAGTCAGATGTCTTAAGCCAGCATTGCGACTAGTTATCAGAATATTCCCTCCTAGCCCAGATGGAAAATATTGCTCCAGTTCCTCAGGTGTGAGATTATCAGCATTATCAAAGACCATTGCGTAGTTTTCTCTCAGACAGCTGATCCACAGTAAAGCAGACTGAGGTGAACCATCTAGTGCAAAAGACTGAGCCTCAGGAAGGTTGCAGATGCCCCTCAATCCCTGTGTGATTGTACCAATTGAAGACGCATCAATCCAGAAAACATGGGAAAAGCTGGGGGAAAATCAGTAATAAGGAGCAGGTAGGATCAAGCACTCACAAGTCAGACATTTCCTCAATGAACCTCAAACATATCTGAGTTTTCCCGATACCCCCCATACCATACAACAAGAAGAATTTTCGACGGCGGAGTTTATCGTTGCTTTCGGCGGTAAAATGCTCCTTCAGTTTGGCAAGAACATCAGTCCGACCTGTGAACCGAATGCTTGAGTTTGTCGGTTTGACGGGAATCGCTGCATCGGATGTCGCCCTGTTGCCATCGGTAGTGTTGTAATTGATCTGTGCGATATCAGCATGGGATAAGTGGCATCGAAGAGCATCACGTACAATATCGGCAGCCATGAATGTGCTGCCTCTTACAACGAAGTTCTGAGCCCCTGGGAAGACTTGGTTTCCACTCATGTTGGTAGCGTAGCAGATGTGGGCGAAGGAAAGAAGCGAGAACTCTGTGGGCGCGAACGTGTGCGTTTTCGCGGTTTGCCGGTGCACAGGAATGGAGTGTTCGCACGTGGGCGCTCGAGCAGTGGTTTATATATGCGATTATGTAGTTGCCTGGAAAAGTGTGGCAGCTTCAAGAGGAACTCGACGAAAGCTTCAAACCAAAAACACACAAGATAAAAAGTACGTCAAGACGACTGAGGCGATTCCGAACTACAAGACACTGCAGAACGCAACATTCAAGGACCACGTATCCAAACGCAGACGAACATGACGGTACATTTGTGCACCTTTTGAATAATTGTAAGCTGTAAGTACATATAAGAGAACCGCTCCAAGCGTGCAAAGGGAACCACTGAAAGCATGCCGACGAAACGGCAGGGGGACCCCCTGCTCAAAACTTCCCCCCGGAATGCTCAAAGCAAAGCAGCAGTCGTAGTACTTCTGCCCGGCAGCCTTGGCGCGCTTCCTAAGACTCTGAGTAGACGCGCTGCTCCTCATACTTGTCAGAGGTACCCAGTGACCCACCAACCCATCATTGACCATCAAAAAAAGAGACAATCACAGCAGCTCACAAGTTAACCTTGGCAACACTAACAAGCATAGCGAGCTCCCTCCAATCATCACTCTTCAGGAAGCGAAGAGCGACAACGGCAGCCGTCTTCTTGTGCACGAAATTTCCGAGACGAGCGTTACCCTTCACGATGACGTAGGGGACGCCCATCTTGCGGCACAGGGCGGGAAGGAAGATGACGAGCTCGATGAGGGCGACGATGTGGTTGAGGCCGTAATTGACGAAGATAGGGTTTCTTGAAGTCCTGCTCACAACATGATCGAAAGGGAGGGAATGTCTCCTAGCAGAGTCCAGACGCAGCAGTAGCAGTCAAACGGGCCTTTTCGACTCGGGGCGGTACTTATTCAACAGTTTGAACAGTTTCGTAGCAGTATTCTTATCCGGTGTGTACGAGAACTGGGCAATGGCGGGTGGGACCTTGAGACGTTAGCAGGATTGGGATGACCTTTTGCGTCTGAAGGCGGACATCTGACGAAACGAGTGAGGTCAGTTTGGGGTCCGATGTCCTGGCCTGTGCTCCAAGCTGAGTTTCAGAATACCAATACAGAGAGACACGACAACGCACCGATGGCCAAAGCTCTTGACACTAGCCTCGAACAAAGGGTTCCTCGACTTGGTGGCACCAAAGGGGCCGCGGCGGGTCTGTTGGTGTTTCCTGCCAGTTCCGGATTTGGCTTTGGGCTGGTTATCGTACCCGTAGAGTAGGACACGGCCCAGAAAAGTAGAGTAGGCTCAGGTCTGGGGGATCCATATCCACGTCCAGAAGATCACGTCGTTTGTAGTGGGAACGACAACTAGGGCCATGACGATTTCCTTCACCCAAATTTGCTTTCGATGGCAAGCCAACCGTTTTGATCGACTGGACAACCGCATCAAATCCCGGCTACGCGGAGACATGCTGAGCGGAAGAATTTATTATAGGTCTTGGATGAAAGCGCTGTACTCTGACTGTACTTGTAATAAAAATTATAGCAACAAAGGAATTTATGTAAAAATTGACGGCGACAAGATAACGAATGCATACATACTATTCTTGCATCTGGTTCTCGAGGAGCCGTTTCTTCCTATGTACGATATTTTGTATAATGTATGATTTTCATCAACTCCAATTGCAGTGGGCGATGACTTGCTTGCAGGCCTGTGTCCGCTGCGTTTGACGGTCGTCTGTGGAATGTCAGTGTGACGTGACACGTGTGACTCCTATAATACCTGACTCCGCCGCATCAACTCCAACTTAAGTCCTACCCAAATTCACAAGCATCCCAGGTACTTGGACTTATCCCCAATTTTTCGCTGTCCATGTCGATAGCGGACTCGAAGGGAAAGTGTCCTCAAGATCTAGGTGCGTCTGTCTTGGGAGTCTGGTGTCTTAGCACTTAATCTACTTACGTCTAGTTGCGATATTTCATGCTTCATTTCATCCAACACAGGGAAACGTTATTGACTGGTCGTTGAAAGCTAGCGACGGTGCGTTCTTACCTCGACCCCTTCCTTTCCAAAGCTCATATATAAAATTTAGATTTAAATCTCGACCACCTTGAATTTAGTGCGTTGCCAAGTGGGTTACATCTCGTTGGACAGGACGTCGTGTGCGTATCGTTAATGTCGCCTATTCTCGTCAATTGACAATATACCTCCTCAGATATTTTACAAAAGACGGCCAGCATGGTGTTTGTATCTTCAGAAGAAGAAAAACTACAGAACAAGGGCACAGGGGTTTTCGCTTATCCTCACTCGGTATACTTCTTGCCAAATCACAGCGACCGCGACCATGGAGACATGTACAAGCATTGAAAGATCTTACGACAATCATCTACTCACGATTAGAAGAATCAGGTGTACTGGACCCGACAGACAGCGACTGGGAACCTGCACGGACCTTTTTCGAGGAACGGAAGCTTAGACGTGCAGACCTTGGAGGCGCAGGGGACTGGAACGGGTGGAGCGATGAATTGGATGGGGTACGTGTTCGGTTGCCTCTTCGACTCAATTGCCGTCTGATGCGCATCAGAGCCCCGACCCACCCGATGCGAATCCCACCCTACATCTCCCGCATCTCCTTCGAATTCTTGGGCCTTCGTCGCTGACATTATATAAGCATATACTGGGACGACGAAGGGTGATGATATATACCCTACCGCCAGTGGAACCTGCGTGCATTCTATGTCATGTTGCTGCAGACATGTGCTTTGAGTACCAAGCTGGTGAAGGCTCCACGTCCACGACACGGCTGAAGGGCCGGAATAAGGAACCTGTGAACGTACTTGGGATGGTGACATTGGCTGACCTTGACAAACTTCGCACTGAGAGCGAGACAGGACGTGGTTGGGTTGCCTGTGAGTGCGGATGATTGTCAATGATCTATTGCTAACGCCACAGCAGGCACGACGGATGCGATATTTATCGAGAAACCTTCTTATTACGACCTACTGATTGATCTTACGACATTGACACCCCATAAAGCGACACGACCAACTTTTTACGCTTCCAAGCCAGTTTCATCCCAGCCTGGTAGCTCGAAAAGCCCAACTCCCCGGCTGTCCACAGTCCGTTTCGCCTGGAGTGACATAAAACTTGTACGCTTTTCTTTTTTCCGTCTAATTGCCAGAGAAAACTAACATGCTTTGTAGTGGAATGAGATTGAGCGAATCCTTAAACTCGACTCAGACCAAGCCTCACACCATGCATGCTGTGGACCCTCCGCCTCTCCAGACGCACCCCTGAAATCAAAGTCTATCACTGCATGGACAGACGCATGGCAAGTTTATGAAGACGTGTGCATTATCTGCGCCGGACTGTGGATAGGGTCATGGCGGGGTAACTCTACCATGTCTTATTCAACCGCCGATGGACCGGAGAACTGGGGCTCTGTGCGGCTTGAAGGCGATGATGATCTTTCCTTGCACTCGACGTATGTGAGGAGTTTAGGTATGGGGATCGAGGGTCGGCCGGTGCCAGCGATAGGGAGCAGCACCCTCTTGCCACCTACATCAACGAGTAAAGCTGCAAAGAGGTCGAGTGGAATAAGCGGCAAGGCCTCTTCCACCGTTTCTGGTGGAAGCGGGAAGGCACGGCAGGTGTCTTCCTCCTTTGGCGCGGGGGACGATTTTGCTTTGGAGGGCAACGGCAACCAAGAGAGAAGGGACGGCCAGCTGTTGACGACACTCGCGTTGCTGCAGACGTTCCATGCCCATACGGCTTTCCAGGTGTCAGTGTTGGAGATGCTCCTGCCAAAGGGAGTGGGCTCTGAGGCTGATGAGTCAACAGTATACCTCAGCCCGAAAGACATCCTCCTGTTTGAGCTTGGTCCGTTGAGCGGATTGGATGCACGGTATTTGGAGTGGCTTGCAGCGGAATATGCGGGTGGTGTTAAGGTTGTTATCAAAAGGGGCTGGAAGGATTTGTTGGCCATAATACTTGGGTATGGCTAGGATTTGGGGAGTGTTGTGATAATCTGTAAATCACTCTTTATTCAATTTTGTATTCCCCTTTGCTATATACCCCTGTAATATATGTAGATGCTTTACTTGCGGTAGTCGTGAGCTTTGCTACCAGCGCCTAAAAGGCGTCAATTCCGACTCAACTAATATTCGCGTGGTGTCACACCAATGTCACACCGCGTTTCTTCGCCCACTCATTAGCACCATTGGAGCAATGCCACGCGCTGCTACTCGATCTCAACGTCCGGCTCCTTCTCAGTCACAGGCGAGCCAGCGGGCGCAACAGGCTCGCGGAGGAAAAGCCAGGCAAATCGAGGAGGACCCAGAGGAAGATGAAGACGATGGAGGGGATGAGGACGAGGACGGAGCTGGTGGTGGACTAATGGATGTCGACGGGGAAGAAAATGGGGATACTGTATGGACTATCTTTGACAGATTAAAGCCGTTTACCGACCCTTTTTTCCCGACCAACAGGACCTTGTGCGCAAAGCCAATGACCTTGTCAGACTGGCTCTCTTCTGCGAGCACAAACGGATTCCACTGCGTAGGGACGATATTACCAAGAAAGGTTCTTTCTCCTTTTTATAAAAAGTGCCTTGCAGTAACTGATGAACAATCTATTGGATAGTTCTTGGTCCAAACGCTTCCCGAGCATTCAACGGTGTCTTCCATGCTGCTCAGGAAAAACTCCAAAAAGTATTTGGCATGGAGCTCGTTGAGATACCCTCACGCGCCGGGCTGGAGCAAGACAACAACACCAATGGTAACGAGGAAGAGCTCGCTGAGGCTCGTCGAGCCACGGGTGTCAAGAAGAAATGTAACCACTCCGACTCCCTCTCTGTCTTCTGCACATATACTCACCCTTTCTTCCTCGTAGCGGTAGCACTCGGCTCGAAAACCTACATGCTTCGCTCATGTCTGCATCCCTCCATCATCGAGCGAGCAGCACTCACAGACGAACAAATTCTCGAGCAGGAACTCGCGGACACGCCCTTCGACGACTCGGATGACGAGGACGAGAACGGAGCTGACGACGACGAGCGGCGTCCACGTTCATATGGGAGCCTCATCTCATGGAGCACAACGGATCAGCTGGGCCCATTAGGCATTCTCTACGTGATTCTCGCTCTGATCCTCGTCAGTGGAAGAGTTATGACCGATGGTATGTCCATCTTTTCTTTCACACCTACTAACTTGTTAACAATTCACAAAACAGTCGACCTCCGTACCCAACTGAAACGCCTCCGCCTGCCTTCAACGGCAGGCCGCTCTCCGGTCCACTTCACCACCTCCTCAACGCATCGGTCCATGTCCCTAGACGCATACCTGACCCATCTCCAACAGAAAGGTTTCCTCGACCGCCAACAGGTTGGTGACAATGCAGCAAAGAAGAAAGGCGCAGGGAAACGTATACGGGCTACTCAAGCAGAGGACGCGGAAGAAGGTCGCACGTGGGAATGGCGCTGGGGACCGAGAGCTGCGTGTGAGGTGGGTGAAGAAGGCATCGCAAAGTTCGTGGCAGAGTTTATGATTGGGAACGCAGATGTGGACGAGGACGAGGACGCAGAGGAGGGCAATGCCGCTGGGGGAGCCAGGAGGAGGGGGGCTGGTGGGGCGGCTGCGGCGAATGGAAGGGAGGACAAGCTGAAGCGGATGTTGGCTGGGGTGGAGAAGGCAGCTGGCGGGAAATTGGCCGGGTGCCGTTGATTGTTCCAATCCTGTCCCCATGCTCGACATCTAGGTTATTGTCCCACTAGATCTCAATGCCGTTTTTTTTTCTTGATACGTTTTGCATCCTGCCTGCCTAATGGTATCGATCTCCGAAATTCATACATAGCGCAGGACTACTAGTTTACAATGGGTAAACGCCCATCCATAATATCACAGAAAGCCTCAAGAATGATACATAGGCCGCAAAACAAGGGAGGACAGGAAAGGGAGGAGGGTGCATAAAGTATGTCATCTATAAAGGCACCCAGCAAATGCTATTGACTGGCAAGGAGGCGCACTTGAAATGCAGGAACTGGGTCCTCTGCAACTGTATGCATTGAGACTGGAGTTCCTGGTGGACGGGTACTATTATTAGTTTCGGTATCTTTGTCAGTGGGAGTTGTAGCAAGGCTTGCGTGCGGGCGCTGAAACCGAAGTCACACTGAGGACATCTTCGAGGTCTGTTTCGTTCTTCTGTTCCTCGACGTCGACCCCAGGTGTGGCAGTTGACGGAGGAGTTGCAGCCTTCGACCTGGACTCCTTAGGCGATTGGAACTCGAAGTCAACGGTGACATGGAAGGTCATTTGATCCTGGTTTAATTCGTTCTGGGCCGTATTTTTGAAGAACCAATCCGAGGTGGTCATAGACGAGAGCGTCCTGGGGAGGGAGAGCGTACGGATGTTACACCAAGCTGAGAACAGGGGGATAGAGAGGCCGTCTCTGGGAATTAGTGGGTTGCAGCACTTAGAGGTGAGAAGAATGAGAGAGAACGCACGAACGACAATGGAATTCAACACCACAAAGGATACGATTGGGTGCAAGGGAGGAATTGTGAATGAGTTAAAGGGAAGCCAGGCGCGGCAGGGTAGTCTCGATACCTTGTACACTTCAGTGCACTTCAGGCCTGGCGCTTCTGAGTGCGAGATGACCTCGGAGGCCAATTATTTGACTGATGGTAATTGGCCTGAGAGGTCGCTATCACTACGGCACCTTCCTGATCAATCCAAATTAGGAAGGGGATCGGGCCTTCATCTTAGTGCCCAAAGTGCAGCGCCCAAAGAGCCCAAGGTGTTCAAAGTGTCAGGTATTGAGCCTCTGACCGCGCAGAGCGCCCGGAGTGCCCAGTGTGACCTTCACCGCCCAAGCGCGAAGACCTCTCACCACCCAAGCACCCAGCGCAACGTGATGTGCTGTGTTTTTTATTTGTATGTCACGCAGAATCATTCCAAGAAGGTTTTGGTATTAAAAATACGGAATTATGGGAATACATACGATATATGTCAAGAATATAGTCCAAGAAATAGTAAAAAATTCAAGTCCAAAATGACAGTCCAAAATGCATACGAAATCAGTTCAAAATGCATACAAGAACTAAGAGCTACAAGAAAAATGTCAGAGGATCAAGTGAGCACAATCTTGCGCAACCGCCAACTTGAAGCAGAATATGATGAAGCGACGACCTCACGTCAGGCGAGAGGGTCCAGGCTCCCCTTCGGCTGGCTTTGCTGAAGGGGTAGGGAAGGCGCCTTGAGGGAAGTACAGGTGAGGCGGATATGGCGGAACTGGTGCTGAGTCAGAAGCACTACCTGCGGGACGGTCAGGGTTCCAAGGCGGCATCCCCGGAAAGGTCCAACCAGGGGGTGGGGCTGGGTACCCTGGCGGAAAACTGAACGGAGGAAAGAAGCCATATGGCCACTGGTATCCCTGTGTAGGATTGACCCCGGCCCCTTGTGTCGGGGGTGGAGTAGGCATGGACGTCGCTCCAGGCACCAGTGTGTCCTCCACAGAAGAAGTGGGTTTTGGGATGACGATTGGTTCCTCCAACGGTTTATCTGCCATCGCAAGTGCTGAACTCACCATCGCAAGTGCTGAACTCATTGGTCTGTCGACGTTGGTGCGAGGTTTCTTGCTGATTACCGCTTGCAACCTTTCAGTATCCACTGAGCGTTTCGAAGTGGCCTTGGACAGGGAGAGGGCTGGATTGTCGAAGATACAAATGGGTCCAAACACTGACCGTTTGGATGTTGTCGTAGACTTGTGGATTGTCGACGTTGAGGGAGCGACAGGTCGCATGGACACACCCTTAGGATTTCCAGAAGCTCCGGCCTCTTTCACGGTGAATGGGTCTCTGGCAGCTGAGATGGCTGGAGGTTGATGCTTGATGGGGTGTGGCTGGATGCGTGCACTACCAGCCGGGTTTACAGTGGGGGGTGATGGTTTGGACGTAGACATGGCAGCGACAGCACGAGACACTGCACTGAATGCAGAGATCAGTTTGAGTTGGTCGCTGGGGGCAGCTGGGGCAGCACCCAATCCAGAGGCAGTGCCCATGGCAGTGGTCTTAGTCGCTGTAGCCTTACCCTTTCCCTTGAGCGCCTTTGCTGTTGTCTTGGCCTTCTCTGACTTTGAAGTCACCATCGACTCCAAAGTATCATCAGCGTCGGCATCACTGATGTCGCTGGATGAGACGATTTCCTTGGACTTCTTGGTGGGTCGCCTTTTCACTGGTGGAACCACAGGTTCGTCATCGCTATCATCGCTGCCGTCAGGTCTTCTTTCCTTTTTGCTTTTGGGGTGTGCTCAACGAGGTGCCATAGTTGGGCGATCCAATGGTGGACTCGACTTGATCTCTATGATCTCATGTGCTGGCGGAAGTTTCGCGATGCGAGGGTGCTTTTCCTGCGACCTGTCCATGATCTGATCGACGTGACCATCCAGATAACCGCGACGAGTGACTTTCGTCACTGAGCTGGGACCTGGCGGTGCTTCCATGTACAAGGGCACTTTGCTCGTGAGTAGCACTAGTAAAACAATATAATAAGTCGGTAGTATAATGGTTGAATGGCAACAACACTTACTTTCTGGATCTGCGCGGACAACACGGATCCTCGTAGCGTCAGATGCAAAAGACTCAGCGAAACGCCGGATGGCACCAATGCCGAGGTCTTTGATTCCCTGGCTTGTGTTTCATTTACGAATTACAGTAGCGCCTTTCGCAATTGAGCGTGGAAAATCGACTCCTCTGGTCCAATTTTCAATCCTAAGACCGGCAGGGGCGAGGGTGGTGGACAGCTTCGACCAAGGAATAGATTCGAAACTAAGACGGAGGTCATATGGCTCTGCAACGTCACATCAGCACCTGTTGTTCCACGATCAATTGTCGTGACATACCCAGAAGGTTTTGAAGGCCCGTTTTGATGATCACCTTCGCCTTTTCGAGGGTGAGGCCAGAGCTTTTACTTGTGTTGTCGTCATCGTCGCTGCTGTTGGAAGAGTCCCCGTCTGGTCCAGGCTTCTTAGGATTGGTCGTGTTAACTGCCTCTGCCAAGCTCTTCCAGTCTGTCTCGAGCCTTGTTTGGAGTCCCAGGGAAATCCTGTTGCTGCAAAAAATGTAGATTAGGGGTGAACTTGGACTGACTTGGGAGGTTTGGCCTACCAGACGTGGTTCTTAAATAGACCACTCATCGTGTCATGATCCATGTGAAGCCGCTCCTGCAAGAACTGACAGGATAGCCATTAGTGGATGTGTTGATAGACCAGGAGATGGGACATACCTCCTCCGCACCTGCCAAAAGGTGAACTTGAGAGAGACCGACGTCCTCATGGATCGAATTTCCCACCAAAACGAAGAGGGATTCAAAGCCGTCTTGTTCGGCTGCTTTGTTTGTGACCCTTTTGAGCTGACTGACCAGCCTGTCAAACTTTCGTGTGCGTTGACTGATGGTTGAGTGAACATTCGATGCGGCGAGGACTTCGTCGTAGGCCTCAAGGATCTCACGCCATCTGGGCTCATGTTCTTTAAAACCGACCAAGCAAGTCCGGCCTAAATCATCACCATCAGTCAAGAACATATTAAGGTAAAAGAAATACCTACAATTTGCCCTTGAGTCCCCAATCCGTCTATGTTCCTTCTCCCGATTAGCTAGAAAGTATTTCTGGTATTTATTCCACATCGAGCCTGTACATTCATGTGCGTGGGTGCGCTTCCACAACGTGATGATGTTCTCATGTGTACGGCCTGTCTTGTTAGCAAGTTGGTCGATGATGTCATCGATCTTCTGGAAGCCGGTGTTCAACACATCCCATGACGAACTTGAGATACGACCAGCTTGCTGACGAGGGACCGGCTCCTTACTTTCATCCATGTTTCTCGTCACATCGTCCGCCAATGGACTATCGTCCGAGTTCGGGAAGAGAAAAGAGTCCTCGTCTTCCGCGGGCACATTGAAATCTGCCTCAGAAGTACCTAGGCTGGTTTTCGGATGCGTGAGATGTGCCTGGACTTCGAACCCACCAGGTAATGCCCCTGGTGGGCCAAATCCATGTGCCAACAAGTTATCTTCCTTGTTGGTTTCAATGGGAAGAGCAGAAGACGATGTGCGAGCAGGGCGTTCAGTCAAAGATGGAGTGCAATCAACAGACAAGGCTCCAGGGGGTCCAAATCCAAGCGCCTGGAGGTACGCCTCCTTCGCCATGTTGCTTGGCAAAGCGGAGGAAGGTGTGTGATCAACAGACAACGCTCCTGGGGGTCCAAAGCCAAGTGCTTTGAAATAAGCCTCCTTCGCCATGTCCTTTGGCAAAGTGGAGGAAGGTCCATAAATGGGAAGATCGTCCAAAACCAACCAAGGCAGCGCGAAATCATGCGCCCTAGGGAGCACCTCTTTCGGAGCATCATTTTGAACAGAGATGTTCGTGAGCATTGGATCGGGGAAAATGAACTGTGGATAAGGGTTGAGCGGAGGGAAAGGATTGTCTGGCAAGGGAGGAGCCAGGGGTGCATCAACTGGATTGACATATGGAGAACCACGACCGTCCTGAGGCGGTCTATTTTCGAGCTCCTCATCAACGCTCAATGGCACAGCACTAGCACGTGGATTTCCTTCCACACTGGAGGGGCTGATGTCCTCATCCGGTGACAAGTCGGCATCGACACACATAGATGCGATCTCTTGACTTGCACCAGCACCCAACCAATAGTCCACTTCAGCCATAGTAGGATCGACTTCGTGGTCCTCAGCGTCAGGAAGCGGTCTGATGGTTTCGTACCCACCATCAGAGGCAGGCATGTCGTCAAACTGCCCAGACGATCCCTTGCCTGTGTCCATATCAAATGACTCTGGCACGCTCGTCATCAAGCAGAAGTTGGGTTGAGGTGGAAGAGGAGGTGTTGGGGATGGAGATGGAGAGGCCGTCCCCTTTCGATTCTTGCGTCGTGTGAGAGTAGCTTGGGACGTTTTGCTTTTGGGTGTCAGATGAAGTGTTTGATGGAGATTATAGCGACCCTCCGCCATTGCTGGAGTACAAAGTCACTATGTGCTCGAAAGAAAGAAAGCTGAAACGACCACATACTAGTGATGATGATAGGCGTCCAACCCGTTGAGAGTAGAGAGTCAACACCGAAAAGCCAGTGAGGATGGCAAGTGAGGATGGGAGTAGGTTGAAGAGGTCACAGTGGGAAAGTCAATGGCAAGTGCGCAATTGACGCCATCTGAAAAAAAAAACTGACAGCACTACTGGCAGGCACAGAAGCGTCTGAAGGATGAGAAGTCACGATTGATGAGCAGTGATCAGCAACATGATCTGACCCATAAAAACATTGACACGGCAGTCCCAGGTGTCGTGTTCTCACAATGCAAGGCCTTACCCAGCAAACTGTATGACCTAGCAGCTGTTTTTCAACACAAGTCAAGGACGATTCAGAGGGAAAACCTACCCTGGAACCTTTGCCGACCATGGTGAAAAAAAATCCACAGCGTGAAACCGATGTGTGACAGATGTCAGAAGCATTGGTTGCTGAATGATGTTAGTCTTCCATGATGGAGGGACTCCGAGGGGATGGAAAGGGCGCCAGGGGAGGCTTGCTGGCCCACCACCAAGCGCGCTGAGGTACCTAAAACGCCAAAGGAGGTTGTGCATGTAGAGTGAACATAAGGAAGGGCAGCAAAAGAGACCCATCGGAGGGGAGGGGAGGGGAGGGGGCTACTAAAACATGAGCAGGATCCGAGGAAAGGGGGAGAGAAGCGACAGATCCACACTCACTCAAGTGCAACCAATTGACAGCAATCAGCACTCTCGATGTCAAACACCCATCATACAACGACAAAATGGGCCAAATGTGTTGGCGAATGCACAGGAGCTGCAGGCAGCATGTCGACGGTGCTGGGGTACATATGTCAGCCAGGTCAGGGGATGTGAGGAGTACGATGATTACACAAGCGAGCTCATCACATACAGTCACACACAGTTCATACACGCAACAATGAAGTCAATTGAATTAAGAGCATCTAATATACACAACAAGAAGGGGCAGGGGCAATAAAAAATACAACACAAGTGAAGCTAACCAGAACGGGGAGTGGTGGTTTCAAAACATGGTGACTCTAGTCCAAAAAAGGGCAGAACGGCAGGCTACAAGACATGGAATCGATGAGATATGAGTTCTAAGCAACATGGAGAAGATGCGAGTGAAGTAGATGTGAGCGGAGTACAAGATATAGAGACATTGCAGACAGAGTCCAAGAAATGCAAGAGGCGGGTGCGAATGGAGTCCAAGAAGTGTGGTATGCAAAGAGAGGGATGCAAGGGAGGGGAGAGCACTTAAATAGGGTATAACATATGCAGTAAGCATGCAAAGGGTTGAAGGCTGTGGTGATTGGCATGATGAAAATAGTCACCCTACAGCCATGCAATGGTGTTGGTGCGCTCTGCATGGGCTAACGCCTCAAAAGCGGCACTTCAGGTGGTATATTTTCTCCAGAACGCATTGGGAACACTCACACAGACAAGGTCTGCAGCCTCCTGAGCACAACATCAGATTGGCACAACATGGCTCAATGACAGACTTACCAGGCTCCGAAAAACACCAACTGCGCCCCTGCCTTTGAAGACCACATAGTAATAGTCCTTCACCGTCTCCACCACGTTGCAGGCCGTGCAGTTCCCACAGGCAATGACCAAAATTTCGTCATTGGTGCCAGTGCCACCGCTGAGAAGGATCCCATCAACGGGAGGCAGTGGCGGGGTAGCGGGGGGCAATTCTTGCGCAGAGGAAACAGGGGAGTCAGTCACTAAGAGATGGTCAGCTTCTGAAGGGAGACAAGGGAGGAAAGAGGAAAGACAGGCTTACATTCAATAACCATTCGGCTGGGGCTGACAGGCTGGCTGTTAGTGTCGGTAAATATGCTATCATCTGGGGTCTTTCTTAGTTTCATGCATATACATATCGGCGAGAGTTACTTGCCGTTACAAAGCCGTCTCTGTCCCATAACAATGCTTGGTGCGTTGGCCAGAACGTCGTCTGGAGTAGGAGTATGCATTAGTTGAGAATGCAACAAGAAATATTGACGAACTACCTGAGGCTGGTCTGGCGCTGGGCCTGGAGCTGGAGGAGCTGGGTTGGAGGCAGTCTGGGGTGTTTGTGAGTGAATGGACTTCGGTCAGAGGGTGGAGTGAGTCGGTGGACTGACCAGGACACATTGAGCAGGCAAAGAAGATGAGGGAGAACGGAACAAAGTTAAAGTGGGGGAATGATGAAGAAGAGGGTTAAGGGGCGAAGTCAGGGTTGGTTGGGTTTATATACGATCAACTGTACAGTTGATCAGTAATGGCTGTAAGCCACCCAACAACACCCAAAAATAGATTACACCAATGTAGACTTATGTATGAAGGTCGGGACATTGAACCAAGGCAGATTTTTTTTGGTTGGACAAGGGAGCAGCACAATCTGCAGTTACTGAAATGGATTGACCACATGATTGTTTTTGGTTCATCAAAGATGATCATGCTAATCTCCATGTTTTAACCGGAACTAATCTCCATGATTAAGAGATCTGCCCGATCTGTAATGCGGTCCGAGATATTACCAGTAAACAAACGACGCTCTGCAACATAAAACCTATGGTAGAATATTACACAGTCCGATTCCTGCATGAGAAACTATGCGGAATTGATTTATAATAATGCAGGATCACACCCATACCCATAAATTGCCCTGTCCCCTGCTAGAAAAAAAAAAGAGTAAAGGTCAGACCATAAGCCAGATTTGTTCCGAGTTTCCCTATTGATACTTACCTTACCCTCTCTTTCCATGGCTCGACCACGGTTATATCATTCCGCCAATGCAAAACGGGATGCCAACAGGGCCAAGAGCACCCGCAGCTACCAAAGGTGAGACATTTAGCTGTACATTACTACCAATAACTCATTCAACAAAGCCATAAGTCTGAAATTCAGGCACGCCGGCAGAAAGAAAGACAAACTCAAAAGTAAGTGGTTCCTGGGACTTCATCACCAGACTTACAATGTACACCCTGTTTAGTCTCTCTATCGAAACCCTCGCCACAGATGCTTCACCCTCCTCACCATCTGGTACCACTTCCATTCGACAGGTTCGAATGTATGCTAAAATTCATACTCTCCTGGTGTTGCGCTGACACTAGCCTTTGTAGCTCTTCTGACCCAGAGTACTGGACAACTCAGGCTGATTCGCGCCATACAAAATATTGCATGTACATCAAGGGATGCCGCAAATTGTTTGTTGAGGCTGCCGCTCGGGACTACTTAAGAACTACAAAGACGAAATCGCTTTCAAAGGAAATCACCATTCTCGAAGAATTCTGGAGCCACTTCACGCGCTACGAGGATGAGCTCCTCCATCTTGAAGGAGTTAGTGAGAATTGGCGGGAAGTCCATGAGATGACTTTGGAGGTCGGGGAGACAATTCGTTGGCTTGAGCAGTTGTTGTGTGATGCATTACTGGGGATTTTGGTGTTCCAAGTGGCATACTTAGCGAATGGGTATGTGTATCAGATGTCATGAGTATCCAATGTCGTGACCTTAATGAAATGCAGTGTGTGTTCGTCAGAATAGTTCAGCTATGGAAGAGTACATCAGGGTAGAGCATATACATGTCTAACCAAAGCCCATCTGAATGTCTCTATTTCCCCCTCCTTCAAGCCTGTAATATGGCACCCTCTTAAGACGGCCACGATGGCGGCAAGAACCCACAATCCACAGCTGAAGGCATCCTTCTGGACGGCATTCAACAGTAGAGGTTGCGCGGTCCACCCTTCTTCAGTGATGACGTGCAGGGGATGTCCCTCACGGTTGGATGCGAGAACCAAATGTGTGATCAAGAGCATAATTTCCTGTGAAAGAGTGAGTATAACGAGATAGCAGATACTCATGGACTAACACCTATCTCCCGTTTCCACAGGGCCATGTCGGCGAGACTGTCAAACAGTAAAATGTTCCCTGTGGACACTAAGATCACGGCCAGTACCCAATGGCCAGTTGGGCGTGATTGATGGATGGGTAGAAGCCACACGTCTTTACACCAGAATTCCAGATGATGTGTCCGACGCCAAATTTCAGAATGCGGGCAATTGTAGTGCGCCATGTGGAGATCGAAGGTCGAAAAAATTGCACACCGTTGACTGTCTGCTTCATGGATGTCGCTGGGGTGAGACCACCAGTGTTGAAGGAGGGCAGCCGTGCTGTTGAGGCAAACATCATTGAGGCGAGACCCTGGGGTTTCGAGGCGTATGATGTCGTCCGCCTCAAAATCGTATAGGTTGGGTTTCGCGTGGGGTACTCGGCGCCGGTTTCTGTGAGTTGCTAGTGGCCCGATTGTTTGGAAATGCAGGGCATCAATGAGGTTCCTGTCCTGGACAAGAGATGCCTAATTGCGTGGATATTGTTGAGACAGGGAAATTATGGTGCTGATCCACACTTACGGGGATTTCCCACTTGAGCTCTATAGCGTGTGCGGGTATGTCTTGAACCGTCAACAGTTCATTATCTTGAGGGGGTGGTGCCTCATCTTCATCATCTTCATCATCTTCCGCATCAATCATGTCGCCAAATAGGATTTCCCCTGTATCCGTCTGCATGTTGTCCAGGTTTATAAGATCGGCGGTATGATACACTGGATCAGCAAATGTGAGTTTGCCGACATCTTGTGTCAGGGGTTGTAGCCAGGTCATCGTTAATGGATCAGGTGAAGGCAAGGTCACGCTGGCATTGGTAGGGTCCTGGTGTCGGATTTTCAAGGCAGCCTGAACATGTGTGTCGAACCTAGGGCTGGAAGCAAGTGTATTGCTCCAACGAGACTTGAGTGAGATCAGGTGATCACGACGGCTCTTGAGAAGTGTCTGGATAGTTTGGTCTACCAAGGGTTAATAATTTTATTCTCGTTGGAGGGGAAAGACTCACTGGAAGGTGACAACATGGCTGTTTCAAGGGCGAGGAGCTCCCGTCCAAACCAGCGGCAAAGATTGTCCGCCTCAACGCCTAATCGACGGTGTTCCTCCAAGCAGTGATCGAGCTTTAACATTGCTCGTATTCCCACCCGAACCTTGACTTCCTCAAGCCAACGTGGAACCTCGGGCGCAGTACGAGTGATCCAAACGTCCTCCATGAGCAACAGGCTGTTGCGCAAGTCATTGAGTTTGACAGGGAGAGCGTCTGGGAGTGGCAGCTCCCAATCAGGTCGGTACATTGCGGCTAGTTGTTCACAGTAGTTGTTGAATTTTCGAATAGCCCTGAGAAGAGCCGCGGTGTATTAGATACAACACATAGATACAACACACCAAAACGAACCGATAGCATGTTGACGTCCCCCAGTGGCTTGATCCAACTGATCCCACTCAAAAAAACTCCCAATGGCCCACTTGCGGATGTTTATTTTGAGATCGCGTGCTAGCACCAAGAGTTTTACGAAGTCCAGGTTGATATCCTCGAGTTCAGGGAACGAGTCCTGAATGTTTAACGATGCATAGAGTTGTTTGACCTTCTCCTTCAAACGCTCTTGAGTTCTAGCTAAGCTGCTTAATGTGGATTTCGAGAATCGATCGGCCAGGCGAGAAATGGCGTCATCGGTGGTGTCGATGGTGGTTTGGAGCTTAAGCACGGCATCCAGTTCCTTCTTGAGATGGGCAGGGGCATCTGGTGCTTTAGAATTAGAAAATTTGAGAGATAGAATGGCTTGGTGACTAACGAGCACGGATAGAAAGCTGGGCTGCTTTCTGTAACCCCCACTGAGTCCGTAACTCGCTCACTGGTACACCGCATTTGCTCAAAATCTTCCGCGCCTCATTTTCTTCAGTTGCGATGGTCTTGAGTCTCCGCCGGATCCAATCACCGAGGTCATCCCGTAGCTCAGCTCCTATGGAACGGGATTGACGATCAAGCATCCAGATGCATCGTCGTCGCTGTGGAAAGGTCGATAAGCTCAGGAAGGTTAGTATTCATGGATATCGTACCGCTGAAACCTGAGTCACACCGATCATTTTGCGTAAACGGGACCAAAAACGCTCCACGCCCTCCCCATCAGAAAGGCCGGGTCCTTCTCGAATACGTGGGTTGTAGATGATTGGCACGACCACTGATGAACATAGGCATGCATGGCACTGGTGCCAAAGTCAGCATGACTGGTGAGGCTTTCGGGAAGTATGTCAAACTGGCTTGTGGTGAGGAAGAGATGTGTGAATGTAGTGGCGCACTTACCAAGTTAAGGCTGCGATCAAGAACACATGCAACATCATAGAGAATGGTCACGGTGGCTGTTGGAGGCAGAAGGGAAAACAGATGTTCTATGAGGGAAACCGCGTACTTTTGCTGCTCACCAGGAGTGTCGATGTTGGCGAGGAAGAGGGGGGCATCATGGCGGCAAACAAGAGCCATCACTCCTCCATCGTCATAGTGATCCATATTCGTTTTGATGGTCGACCCACTGCTGGAGTCATGCCCATCTTCACATTCGTCCACTGCTTCATCTGGTACTTTGGCAGCTTTGCGAGCTTGGGGAGGCCGGCCCTGCGCCTCCGTGATGCGTTTTCCAACATTGTCGACATACGCCTTGGTAAGAAAGTATTCTGGCCTGTAGAACTCAGGACAATCGCCCGCATCTTTTCTGTGGCGTTGGCTGAAATTGCCATCAGTGGCGACAATGAAATCAGCACCTCTGGGAACATCCTGGTCAGCATAGCCTGCAACATGGTAGTAATGGTACGTACGTTGCTCCCAAACGCCCAAACGTCCGCAATCCAAAGCAAGCTGGACAGCGTTGCTGTAGAACCCTCGCGCACTCGACAAGGGGCACAGGAGGTTCGGGTGGGCTGTCATCAGGAGTCAACTCGACAAGGGACAGAGGAGGTTCTGCTAGACTGTAATCAGGGGTCAACTGTTTGGGTATGGGTGCCTCAGGGGTGGTGATGGTATCCAGGTTGGTTTCCGAGGAGCAAGGAGTGGCGGCGTCACCAGCCACAGTCGCTGCTTCGAGTTCTTGTTCAATCTGAACTTGCAGGCTGTCATACCACTGAATGGCATGACCTAGGCCTCGACGGAAGGCGTTCTGAACGATCTCCCCCTGAAATGAAGAGTTTGTAAGAAAAAAGGGTGGGTGATAAGCATCAGATGGAGAACCTGATAGTTGCGGTGAACAAATCCTCGGCGTCCATAAACTAGGTTGACAGCATGAGAATACGCGTATACAGCATCGCATGCATGTTCAAAAAGAGCGTTGTAGTGTTGTATGAGAATAATGGATACAGCCATCCGGGGTTGGGTGGGCGATGTCGGAAAGAGACCATGAAGGATGAGGGTTTCCATAATGTCCTGACATTCGCAACTAGTGACCTCAAAAGTGTCAAAATCTGCCAGAAGGATGTATGAGAATGGCTTGTTGAGAAGACGATGTGGCACGTACGATCAAAAAAAAAGACAAAGGACTTTTCTGGATTTCGCGACGCATACATCCCCTTTGAGACACGTTGAACGAACCCCATCGAGGGGAAAGGTCTTTTTTCCATGGGTAGCTGAGATGAAGGAAAGGAATGGGGACACGAGGCGGGGAATGAGAGCCTGCCACTGCTGGTAAAGGAGGTTGGCCTCTGCATCTGGGCCAGTGCGTCGTACTTTTGCAGGAATGGGCGTCTTTGGTGGTATCGGATCGGATTTTTGAGGGGTGCTAGGACACAAGTCCACATCCATCCCATTATCTGGCATGGAGAAGTCATCCCCGTCCCTGTCCCCATCCCCATCCCCTTCCCCCCAAGCGAAGCCCGACCCTGAGTTGCCCAGATCTCCTGGAACCTCCATGCTTCCCTCACAGTCATCTCCCCCTTCATCGTCTTCCTCCTCCCCAGGGTCTGCCAGAAGTCTGGCCAGAACTTCCTGTGCGCGACGAAGTTTATCCGCTTGTCCAAGATACGTGACCTGTGTTGAGGTTTTACGACTGTCGCATCTCTTTTTTGGACTACGGAAGACTCGCCCAAAGCCCTTGGTGGCAGGCTGTTGGGCATGCGACTTGCTTAGTCGCATCGTTGGGGAGTGTCTGCAGCGGGAAAGCTAAGAAAAGAAGGAAAGAGTGAAAGCGCACGTGATATTTGCAATGGACAACTGAAATATCTAAGTCCCCCAGCGCAGGGACCACCAGGAGCGGCCAGAGTGCGAGGAGCGCTTTCATCAAGCACTGTTAGAGCTAGAGATCGCAATCTAAGAAAATTGATGATTCGAAGCAAGTATATTTTTAGCCATCACCGCCATCAGTGCTTAGGAAGGCCCCCTCTCAGGCCAATTACCCCCAGACAAAGAATTGGCCTCTAAGGGCCCAGAAGCACATAGAAGTGCTAGGCCTGAGGTGACCTTGTAATTATGTACCACAGGTCTTGGTCACCTGCGGTCACCTGGCAGGTCGTGACCTTGGGTGACCTATCACGTGCGTCTTTGGCACGCCGTCATGCCTCAATATAACACATAGGGCGGCAAGCTGCATGGCCTGCTACGGACCATTTTCGGTATTTATGTTGATTCTGCATTGAATTATAGTAATTTACAGCTGCTCGTTGCTCAGCCTTTGGCCAGCTCCTTGCAGCCACAGCAGTACATTTCATATTGCTCACAAAATACACAGAGCACAACCCATAACCGTAATATAATGATCAATTTGTCTATTGATGTTACATGTACATGTTGAAAGACAAGATATTGAAAACGTGATAGCACATTATGCATTTATGTCTTATTACCATGTGATATATTTTCTCACAAGCAACTCACAACATAGAAGTTGAAGTATATGTACTATTAGCTAAATACGTTAACTCAGGTAACCATGATGTCCTCATTAGCTATGTATGAGTCATTGAGGGAAATGAAATACAAGGCCTACAAGAATGAAAGGGAAAAGGAAGGGTAGACTACATTGTGGAATACTTAGTGTTTTGCATGTGAGATTGGAATCCAAATCTCACGGAAACTTGTTTGTTCTTATGGTCCAAGACTGATGGGAGTCAATGTTCAATCATCGACGTAAATGTGGGTTCCAAGGGAGGGGACTCCTCCACTTGAAGAAAATTAGAATCTAGTCAGAAGACTAGATCGTTTATCAGCCACCTGTGACCTTCACTAAGAGCGCTTTGGCAGAGGAAGTTCAACGTTCATCACTGTGACACTGAGGAAGGCAACATCACACATTACCAGAACAAACAACTTTTCATGAGATTTGGATTCCAATCTCACATGCAAAACACTGTAAGTGGGACAGGTGCATCCATAAGATGTGTGTGATTGCAGGACATGACCTTTCCCCCATCTTTTCTGTTGTATGACCTTTCTCCTACCCAGTGGAACATGGTCTTATGTAGAATGTGACCTTTTTCTCAAAGAGCTTATGGAGAATGTGACCTTTCCCCCATCTTTCCTGAGTAAGCAAAGGGCGTGATTACATGTGATGGGAAAATTTGGCACATGATTTTAGTTTCAGTCGAGGTTGCACCACAAAACCCACTACTAATGTAGTGGGAACATGAAGTGGTGACCTCACCTCCTGTGGGTTAATATATGCTCAATCGGGATTTTAAAAATTCAATTGAATAAAACGAATGATTTTTGGTCTTCATTTGAAGGAAGCAGGTGCATCATGTACATTTTGGCCTTTGTTTGATCTGTTCCATCATCTGGATGGAATGAAGCTTTTGAAGAATCAATTGAAGAAATTTCCAAATGAAAATTGAAGCAAACAAAAACTTCTTCACTTGAATTAAGTTAACAAAAAATAAAAAAATCCCTTGTGAGTGTGGCCTTCAACCAAGACCTCTCATTTGCTTCATTTGTTCTGTTTGGTTAATCTTCAGTTGAAGGAAATGAAGATTCTCTCTTTGCCAACTGAACAACCTTCCTATTCAAAATTTTCCCTTCCAGCTGAAGCAGCTGAAAGGGATTCAAATGGCTCATCTGTGCCTCCTTTCATTCCTTTCATTTGGCCAATTTATTCAAGTTGAACAAAACGAAGCAAACAGTGTTTCTCCCTTGTTTGCCTATGTAGCTGCTGTTTGGCAGCAGAGTGCAAGACAAAGAACTTGAAATAAGCTGCAAGATTGTTTGCTTCATTTGGCACATTTGGAGAGGCCTTCAACTGAATAAAATAAATATTACTTAAAGGAAATGAAGTTTCTTATGTTCAACTGAATGAGATGAAGGTAAAGGCTTTCAATTGGTCTTATTTGAATATTCAGTTGAAGAAAATGGGTTTTAATTGAAGGGATCAAAGATGGCTCCAATTCAAGTAACTTTTGTAGCTACAGCTTGTATTTCAACATCATGGGGAGGAACATGACATGGGCTTCACACAGGGAGAGGTAGTGGCACACCATAGCACTTGGCTGAGGATTGGCAGTTGATGTGTGCTGCATGACAGTGTCATGAGAAGGTTGCGAGCTTGGTGGAAGGGCGGTCTTTACCTTTTTTGGGAGGGCCCAGCCTCAGGAATGCATGCCGGAGATTCCTGACAGATTCTTAGAAGTTCAAGGGAGGGTGGTGGCCCTGCAACTTCACCGAACAAGCGTATATACAGGTGGTGACCTCGGTTACCTTATCTGGAGGTCACCAGGCTTAGCTGGTACCCCCACGTATCTTTATATACCATAACATCTGGAACTTCATCAGTACGTGACAGAGAACTTTTTCAAGCTCCAACATCACCTCAAAAAGGCAAGACACATGCTTTCATTGATGATCAAGGCACGTCCATTGAGCACCTCTCCACCTTGATTTCTATGAGTGGAAGCAAGTGCGCTCATGACAAGAACCTACCAGACACAGGCAGTTGGCTGTAAACTAAGCATAAGCTCACTCAGGTCCACTGAAGGAAACAGGTGTATAAGGTATAGTATGCTATTGAAACAAAATGGCTGTAGGGTACTTGTTCAAAGACAGATGTCAGTAAGTAAGTACAGAATGAGAGGGTGTTTCTTTGTGTACATCATTATTGTGAATGTGATGAACATTCTCTCAAAGGCAACTCTTGGAAGTATCACCACACAATGAAAACAGTCAAAAATGGCAACTCCAAATCCAATTATGTCTTAGCATATTTGGTGAAGGATCCACCACAGCCAGCTGCATCACAAGAATCCGAAGCATCAAGAGTGGTGTAACTGGTTGCAAGCACTGAAGCAGGTCATGATCAGCATAAAGATAGTCAGAAGATTAGCATGAGAAGTAAGAGACATGCTGAGCCACTCGGCTTGGGTGGTGTGGGGAGTGTATGTGTTGATGTAGATGGTAGTACTGGGTTCGGACATGGTTTGGACCATCATTGTCATCCATGCTGACCATCAAAATTTAAAACCCTCCTACCCTTGGTTCAGGATCCACGTCCCACTACCCCCTTGTCCCAAGAAATACAAAACATTCAACAAGATTGTGAAGCCCAGCAGCTAATGCAAGCAAGGGAGAAGGAAGAGTTGGTGGCTAGGAAGAAGGAGGGGCTTGATGTTGAGCAGCTGAGAGTGGTTTGGCAAAGTATCTGAGGTGCAGGTTTCAAATCCTTGTATGACTACCTACACTCTCTGTTGTTTCAAATGTTTTACCTGGTCTATCATCAGTGCCATGAGGGGAGAAATTGTCAGAATTATCTCTGTCCCTGTCTCATCCAACAGCAGGGGAAGGGAAAAACACAGTTGCCATTCAAATGGTTGCTTGTGGAAGATCTGGTCCACTTTCTCCACCAGCTTCTTGACATATACCTCTTCTGGTTTGTAGTGGCAAACCTTTGAGAGGGAAACCATGCTGAGGGGTGAATATATTGTGAGAGGGTTAAGGAGTCACCAATCAGATTGAGGTCTCAGGTGATGAATAATACCGAATATACGAATGACAGAGGTGTACTGTTGTATAAAAATTAAAATGCCCCATGCCTGAACAAATTTAGGACTGCTCAAGCTCATTTTATATGTTTGTGGTCAATATACTATGTGACACGAGCATGTTCACTGTTAATGGGTGCGCATGCATGCACACGTGCAGATTTCTTTCCTTTTACAGGTGATGTCAGGGTTTGAAAATTTCTCTCCTTGGTCATGATGAAGTCTTACCAGTCTCCATGGTAGTAATTACCTGCTCACACATTCCAAATACAGAACTTCCTCATTTTCTCGACTTCAACACTGCATACCCTTACTCAGATTAAGCATAGCAAATTACTACCATCAGAGACTGGGTTCGAGTCTAGCGGCAGGGTAAGGCTGGTGTTTGTAGCTGCTATTACATAAATAAATGAAATAAAATAAAATAAAAAAAGGAAAAAAAAGCAATGAAAAAGATAATATTTCTTATCTTATCTTACCTTATTTACATAAGCTGTAAACCACTGGCCCATCCTTCCATCTCCACCTACATCTGGGCTATCAATCTTGACAGGTGTGGAAGTGCATCATGAACCTTTCATGACGCCCTCCCTTTTTTTTATTTTATTTTTTTATCGTTGTTTCTTTTTTAACNGGTTGTTGTTTTTTTTATTATATAACGGCGTATCCTCAAGAGACCGAAG